AATCACAGACGTTTTACTCCTCCACCACCTGAGTGTGTATGTGTTCGTCCCATGCTGCTCACTCACGTGTACACCACTGCCTGTGTAGATGGTTCCATGTCACCTCTCACGCTGACAACTCCTGTTAACTTAGCGTTTTGTTTCTCTGTGTGTGTTGTTTCTTTGAAGGGACATGTCAATCTCCACCGTGTCATTTGTGTCCGTGCCGTTTAATGTGTTGCATCGACCGAAGCGAGAGACTGCATTGGGACGACGAGTTAGGAGTGAGGTTGAGTGCGATGATTATTGTGGCATAAGGCTGTTTGTCAGGGTGGAGTTAGGGGTATCTTTGGGGGGTGGGAGGTGTAGGGTGAGAATGAGTCTAGGGGAGTGCCTGTGAGGCTGTCTGGTGGTGTGGGGGTGAGGTTGGCTGCAGAGGTGTTGGCTGTTTTGCGTAGTCGTGGAGTATGGCAGAGCTGTTAAAAGGTGTACAGGTGGTGATAATAGTGGTGATGTTGCAATAGTGATGGGACTGATGCTGGTTGTAGTCATGCTGGCGAGTCCGAGTCTCAGCTAATTGTGGAGTGGTCAAGCAAATTTCCACAAACTCTCCCAACAGCTTATTCGCCACAGCCTCATCTCTTCCGCTTTAACGTAAAACTATGCTGCATGGGGCCTCCACTGATCTCACTCTCTTAAGTGTATGTATGTTGAACTTCTCCCGCACCGTACATACCCAACTGTGCTAATCAGAGGTGCGGGGCAGAAGGACAAGCTAAACACAGAACTGTGGGTCCAAGCGAACAACTGAGAGGGGTTTTTTGCTCCGCATTTACAAGGTCCTCAACTTTATAAGGATGCAAGCCATCTCAAGTTTGCAGTAGACGGCGGTGTGTCCATACTGCATGAGCGGGGGGGGGGGGGGGTAAATGCATCAAAGTTCACAACCTGTGGCTCCAGAGGGACACTTGATATAATTTCGGCTATAAACATGACTGGGAAAAGACTCAAGTACAAGACGAGGTCATTGCACTGAAATACACAGCTGGCTACCTGTCCACTGATTGCATAAAATCTGCACCGACATTTTCAATTCACCATTTGCGATAATCAAGGGGGATTTATCTGCCGTACACGGCATACAAAACTTTGTTGGGCATCTCACTCCATCACAGGTGCAATATCATTTCTCAGACGTTTCAAACGTTGCACGGCGAATATTTAGATTCCTGTTCATTCTGGTACTGGTTTCGTGCCGCCACGAGTCAATTTCGCGCCACCCATTGGGCAAGCTCGCACATTGCCCGTCTTGCAAACTTGGCTTAGGTCTGGATGCAGGCCGGATGAGAAGCCTTGAAAGAGCTGCAGTATACAGCGCTCTTCCCAACACCAATGTGGATAGCGCGTGTCCCCTCGCGCAGTGGCGGCGATCCGGGCCATTCTGGCCCACGAGTGATTGTGACGATGCGCGTCGATGGGTTTTTGCATTGGGTTTTGTAAGGGAGCCACGGTACCCTCATCAAGTGGCATGGCACCACAGCCAAATGCGCTGGGCAGAGCCTTGTCGCTGTGGCTACTTTGGAGTGGCTGCCCCCTCCCCAGTGGCTTTGTGAACATCAAAAATGAGGTCTCAGCTGGCATCATGAGAAGTGTATTCGTCAAGGGTTATGCACATTATCTAGTCAGACCTCAACCCTTCTCTGAACCATACTTTGTATTTTACCTGCAGGTTTTCACAGCCAATTATAATGCAAATGTGGTCTTCCGGCGATTGCCCGCAGTAGTGCGTGGTGAAGGCTTGAGAGAAATGCTAAACTCCTGATCTAACCTCGAAGACCACACATAAAATACACTATCCTACCAGACCTTAGCCTAACCGTTAATCACACCAGCCAACAAGACCCTAGCACTACTCCTACCCGAACAAATTAGCCAAAACAACCCCTAGTTCTAACCTTTGCCCCCACTAACCAATATGACCATAATACTACCGCAAGGCAACCAAGGTCAAAACCTGAATCTAAACAAATTTCCCCAGCTGTCTTGTCCCTACCCCTTATCTATAGTGCTGCACTACGAGTACCGCACACCAGCCCGTCCCCTTAATTACAAACCCGAACCTCGGCCTTGGTGTTTAAACCAATCTGCTCAAATCATTCTTGAAGTTCAGTGCCTCTTGGTCAATCAAGTCTTTATAACACACAACCCTGCCCACCACAATCTGTAAAATTAGGCCATGGGGCAGTTGAGGGGAACTCTGATGGTCGTTTGATTGAGGGTGTGTCTGCGATCTGGCTGTCGAGGGAGTTAACGTGGATGGGTTTTTGATGAGTTCTTGCTTTCTTTTTTTAGCCCTGGTATAGGGATTCAGCTGTGTGCCTGTAAAGCTAAACAGGGGGATCTTTGTTTCGCTTGTGCGTGTGAGAATTCATTGGGTCCCCTTATGGTTGGTATCACCTTTCCCCAAATCTCACACGGACTGTCCTCGTTGTAGCAGGCATCTCAATGTCAAACTCTTCGATGTGTTTTCTAGTTGTACCACTTTGTCCGGCATGTCTGACGTTATTTCAGCTCCCAGCACGTGGAGCAAATTGTGCCGCACATCACGCGGTAGCAACCCGACACCTCGGGGAGCTACGCAGTCGTCCATTGACGTCGTGCACTCATTTACTGGGGAAAACAGATTGGGGACGGTTTAGAGCATCCTTTTATAACCGACGTCTGTTTCACAAGATAACCCTCCCAACCTCATCCTCCTACCATGTTCTTTGGATTGTACGACTCACGCCAGGAAGTAAGAAGCACCCCAAACCTGTGCTTCGTCAGGTTACACAAATCTGGTCTCCCACACGCGCGCACCCCCCAAATCTTGCTTTAAAATACAGGAGGGGGAAAATGGATCATATAGTCTGAGGAATATGGTGCCCATCCACCGTTGGTTTATGTAATGCCCTACCCCATCCTGTGGCACATGTCACTGAGCCCACGTTGGCTTGTAATGTCCAACCCAGCATGTCGCATGCATCGCTTACCCAAGGGCTGAAGCCGAGGAACCTCCTACACCCCCCACCCCTCCCACATCCCTGCCCCCCAGACTACCAAATCACCCACTCACCCCCCCCCCAATCCCCTGACACTTAAACCCCCACAGCACCCCTCCCCTTTGCCCACTCCACCACCCTCCCCCCGTCCTGTGCAGCCGCAACACTCGCGCTACCCTGCCCCATGTATGATCATGTTTGTGCAGAACAGACTTTGTAGTAGATTTTATGTAACTCTATGTACAAAATTGTAAGGTTAAAATATGAATAAACTGCTCATTTGTACAAACCTCTTATGAGTAAAGTTGTTTTTGCATTGCATTTGGCATCCACCACTTGAATCTTTGCATTGATATTGTATAGTGTTGGGAAAAAACATCGGTGTGCAGCTCTGCATCTGCATGTTCACAAATGGTGCCTGAAGGTCCTCCACAGTATCCTCTGGATGGGCTCTAGACAGTATTCTGGCCTGACATGCAACCAGTCGTTCAACAAACTAGAGGACAGTTAATGCTGCTGGGTGGTCATAAAATGGGTACACCATTCATTGAAGGTGGGTGGGCCTTTTTTTCTATTGTAATCATACACCATTGTTTCAACTACCATGCTAGATTGAACCGGCAACCTGTGTTAGATATGGTTGTTTAGATTGGTAACCCTCGTGAGAATCTGGAATTGTGCAAACACTGGCCTGGAGATCCACCAAAGGAGAGCCGATGCTGCACTGCACATTCAAACAGGGAAACAACTTTGGAGGCCTGTGCAGTAATTGGACATTCACGCGTGGCGTCTGCTATGTAACCAGGTGAGCGTCTAAACAAACCTTGAGCCATGGCTTATCAGTTAATACTTGGGTGGCAAATGCTAATAATTTATCGGAGAATTGTACCTCCAGATGACGTATGATACGAAGGTCACTGGTAGCTTTGTACGGGAAACCAGTTGATAAAAAGTGCCATAGTACTGGGGAGGGGGAAGTGAAATTAAACATCCAAGCAATACAAAAATAAGAAGTTAGTGTGCATATAAAACAGAGTATGTACGCCGATGTTTCTGCAAATGGTGCCTTTGAGAAGTGTTTGCCACTGCAGGTGGTACAAACAGAACCCCCATTTGGCTCATGGGCTCGAGATTTCTTCGAAAACCATGCACGAAAGACGTAGGCAAGTCACTCCAGTCCTGTCTTTATTATTAACTAGTTTTACATACATTGGTAACCAAACAACACTTGGTGTATGTTGTTATTACCGGACAGTTTAAACTGCTGTAGTATTCACTTTCATTGCATAGGCTATCCTCCTAAAACGACCCTTTGCGCTTTGGCAATTGTAGTCTCGAGTTGGACCTGCACAGACAATGATCACAGTAGTCACAGTCTGCAGCAAGCATAACGTGGAAAGCGACGAGTTGCATTGATGAAATTTATGCAAGAGGCCTTGGCGAGTGAAAAATCTGCTTGGCCTTTAAAAAAAAATATCTTCATTTAGAAACTATTCAATAATATTGCTCCAGTTTACCGAGATAGGCTATTTTTGCATTTAATTATTTAGGCACATATCAAATCATCTCTGTAATGCATAAGCTCACAATACAAGCATCGTTCCATGTGTGTGAGAAATCGGGCCGTTAAGATGTAGGGGGTCTTTCAAAACGATGGACCCGATTTGAAACCGCTGTATCTCTGCAACCACGAACCGCCCATGAATGAAACTCTTACCACTTGAAAGGGCGGGGCAGAGTTTCAAATGATTACCGCTAAATGCCTCTCCCAGCGCACAAACAGCCCCTAGGCTCAGTCATTCGCAAGATCGTGACCCCGCAACACAAGGGGCGTTTTGCGTTCCACAGTTCAGCAAGACTGAATCTGTATTTGTGGTGCAGCGTGCGTTTCAACGGCGTTTTAGCATTGATCCGCCAATGTCAAAGAGCGTGGTGGCCCAAAATACCGTGTTTTTGTGCCACCATTAGCAACTAATCTGGATGACCTCAAAAACATAATCACGGAAGCAGTGACTTCAGTGGAAGAAGACTTTGAGAGGCGTTTGGGACAAATTCAACATCTTGATGTTCTCCGTACAGCAGGTGGAGGGCACAGAGCATTTATAAAATGGTTAGTAAAACTTGAAAACTCATTAAACCGTTGGTAACTTTGTATTTGTAACATGTTGCTATCGTGAAATATACTGCTTTGAAATCGAGTCCATCTTTTTGAAACACCCTGCATTATGCACTCATGTGCCTTTTCAAATACAAAACGGTCAAGGCAACTTACGAGACCAAGGACATAACTGCACTGTAAATGAGACAAAAAAAAACATCATTGAATCGACCTCAGATCCTGACAAGTCATCGAATCACCGAGGGGACGGATCGTCACATATCTAATATTGTGTACGACATCATGTTCACTTGATGCGAGACATGCGCAGGCTCAGGGGCTTCGCAGTATAGAATACCCAAATGTGGCAATGAAAATAAGACTTCTATCTCTGCTGGCAGCGCTCTGTTGACTCCCACCGAAGACACTCAGCTTGATTCAAAGTGATAAATGGAGACCGATTTCCTGGCACCGAGTTGGAAGGTGCCGTTCCTAAACACGCTGCCCCGCGTTTCCAAAGCTGATGAAGTGTCCACCATTGCATCGAGGAGAAATCACAATCACATAAACGCGATACCTCACTAAAATGTCCACATTTCATTTTGGTTGTCACTTCCTGCTGAGTGGATCAACCCCCAAGTTGGCTGCAAATGATCTTGAGTTGTAAGCGCTTCAGCGTTAACACAACCGCGCTAAACCGCGTTAAACATCACTGCCATGCAGTGAAAGGGTCGCTCAGGATTTCTAAAAATTTCAGCCATCTTTTTCCCAAAACTCACGTTCATCTGTGATACCACTGTAAAGAGGGAAAAATATAAAACCGGCAACATTTTGGACAACAGCTTTCATGATCTCTGCTATAAAAATGGCCACTGCCCAAAGTGTCACCTCTTATATAATTATATATTAAAACATTTATATTTAAAATATTCTTTCCTCTTTAGGGCAATCCTATTGACAAACGTGATGTATTGTTATTTGTGCACCACTGCCAACAGTATCTCAACGAGGCGTGGTTTCTGAATTCAGTTTGTACCGATTTGTAGGCAAATATGCCGCCAATTCTAAAGGTGACACCAACTGTGCTCTCCAGATGTTATCAACACACCTTTGTCAATCCACTGGTGGATAAAGGTCTTCTCACACCGTGTTCATCGTGGAGAATGCCGAGACCATACCTCAATACACTGATCAATGCGGGTTGGAGTGGAGGGGTGGGGTGGGAGATAGAGGGGGAGGCCCAGGGCCAGTTCATTTGTATAGTTCTCCACTGATGTTAGTCGTGACCAGGAATGGAACCGCTGTGGGCCAGGTTCAATGCTTGCACACAAACTGCTTTGTGTTTAGTGTTGTCCTCCCGCACCTCCAATTACCACGATTGGTTAGGTATGGTGCGAAATAATTTCTACATGCACACAAACTAGTATCACATCGTTTGGCCCCCGTTCCTGGTTTTTTAACTGACTCTTATTTGCAGTTGATGAGAGATGACGTGGCAGTGAACAGTTTGAAACATCTCTACTCGCACGAGGCTGAGAATTATAAGACTCTTTCATTTGGATGTTTGGCCAATTCCATTTGACAGCATTCATTGCAATGTGGTCGGACAGTGGAGTGCACAAGGAAAACCCACATACCTACGAGGCGGATAACACTCAAGCTCAGCACAGGTAAGGGTGGCAACTTACTCTCTGCACTGCATCCCACAGACACCACTTCACCACGCAGTGGTTAGGAGCACACGAGGTTGAGAACTTCTCCGTGTCCAAGCCACATGTCGCCCCATACAGTGAGATCCTCGTGCCACCAGTCACGCAGCAACTTGGGGGTTTTTGGTATAAAATAAAAACGCTTGGGCGGTGATGATGACACTGCTGCAATGGAGCCAGAAGCCACTCTCCACCCACGGCCATGGACTCCACCCTGTTTTCTTTGGCTCTTCACAGGACGCACGTGTACCTATGAACAAGCGTGTATGCGCGTGCATGCATGCACACGTGTCCACCGGCGAGGACAGCAATGGGAAGCGATTCACAGTCCACTCCGTCCCCTATGGTCCACCCCTCCCACGTTCCAACGCACAGGGGCATGCCCAGGGTTCCGAGTTCCTGCACACCGCAGATGACGATGCTGGAGTGACATCGCAGGCCTCTGCCGACATCCTTACGCAAACACACAACTTTTACAGCAACTCTCTGTAGCTGTTCAAAACCCCCACATTGTTTAATTAGTTGTGTCGACTCAACGGGCTCAACAGAGTTCATCACTAACAGAGATTTTTGTTTTGTTCAGCCACTGGTGACTGGGCCATGGACCATCCACTCACTACTTTTGAGAACCCAGTTTAATTATGCTGTTCCTCTCCGGGTTCTGTCTGTCTGTAAAGATATCATATGACCAACACATGGCAACCACGTTTCTTGGGAAGCCCCATCTTTTGGACAAATCTTATTTCGCTCAGCGGAGTAAGATCGCGCCATGTCAAGCAAAGGCCGGGGAAGATTACAAAATGGAAAGGATATGGGCACCGCCTCTCAATTCTATTGAACAGGAAACGGGTGCCATGGTAGCGAAATGTTAACTACCTAGCCTGGTATAGAGGTCGTAGGTTTAATCCTGACACTGAACGCTTGTATATTTTAGTGTGCTCTACCCATGGTCGTGTGGATTTTTTCTCCGGGTCCTCCGGTTTTTCCCTCTACATTTAGAATCACGCGGTTAGCGTATTTGTCTGCTATCACATTCCACGTGATAAGCCACTCCAATGAGCATTCATTTGTGGCCAGGTCGTGTCTGAAAGAGAGCTATATAGCTCAGTGGACCTTACCTGGTAAAATAAAAAAAATAGTTTAGTTTTAGTTCATCACTTTGACTTGAGAGACTCACTACGTGTTACCTTGGGGAGATGGTGGTGGTGTCAGAGCTTCCTCTGTGCCAGCTGGAATCGCGACTCATCCGAGATCCCGTACTGCTCCAGGGGATCCTAGACCACGGAGCACAAAGACACATAGCCTAAACAGACTGTGGGGGAAAGTGCTGTTATACGGAGGACCTATGATGGCTGGCACAGCACCAAGGGGTGAAATGGCGAACACCATGCCAGGCCACCTTTGTCTCCCCAGTGCTGATGTTTACACACCATACCAGGTACTCACTTCAGGCTGAGCAAACCAAGGGGAAATTTCTGATGTTAGACATACCTGAGAATCAGAATCGAACCGAGGTCACCAAGTTTATAGGCAAGGGCATGCACAACTGCTTCCTGACGCAGACGCGACACAGCCACAGTCGTATGTGAACTGTGAATGCTGCACGTACTATTGTGTACCATGTGCCAATTGAAAATGTGACACGTGTACTTTGAAACATTGTGCCGTATAAGATTACCACAAAAATGAGTGCACCATATAACACTGTACCACACGATGGTGTCCACTGCACAGTGGTGTGTGCCACATACACGTGTACTATAACAACAGTGAGTACCAAGTAAGAGTGTAAAGTGCCACTGTGTACCTTCCCCGTGCGCTGCCGGATCTCCTCCCGGAGGCCAATCGCCCTCCTCCTCATCCTCTCGTAGCTGCGCACACAAACCCATCCGTGAGGACTTACCGCCTCACACCAAACCCCCCACCCAAAACCACATTGGCGTAACGAGTGTTACACATGAAGGGAGTTCGTGCGACACGTGGAATAGTGTGTGTGAGTGGCGTGCATGGTGTGTGAGGTATGGGCAATGCGTGTGGTGTTGGTTTATGCGTTTCAAGTGTTGTGGGTGTGTTTACGTGTGGTACGTGTGTTGCGTGCGTGTTCTTTGTGTGTTATGTGTCTTGTTTATGCGAGGTGTGCTGTGTTGTGAGTGCGTGTTTTTTTATGTGTGGCGTCTGTATGTTGCGTGGGTGTTGTGTGCGTTACGCATTGGTCACGTGCTGCGAGTGTGCGTGTTTTAGTATTGTTTATGTGCCGTAAGCATGCGTGTTGTTCGTGTGGGGTGTGCCATGTATTGCGAGTGTATGTATTATGTGTGTGTGTTGTTTGTGTGGAGCCCACACCTCGCTCTTGCCAGCAGCTTCATCCACTCGTCACACTCGGATATGGATGAGCATACAAAGCAGTAGCGCTGCTCCGTCCCACCCCGGTACACTACAAAAACAAAGATCACCCATATATCCTTCAAGATGCTGTTGGCGTAAGTGATGTTAGTGAGGAACTATTAAAATCCGAACGGCGCACACGAGATAGGTGGTTGGCCAGAACCACCCCCAGCCGAATTTGTCTCCCCTATGCCGATGTTTACACACAGCAACGGGTGCCTGTACTCGTTTAAGGCTCAGGATTGGTTCCAATACTCGTCACCAATGTTGATTGCGAACGGGAATCCAACTCGGGGCGCAGCCTTGCAGCTCTCCAAGTGCTTGATCACGTAACTGCTGTCGGAAGGACCTCCACTCGAGGTAGCTCTGGAGAAACCATCTAAAGGGTATTTAGCCTACTCTTTGGTTATTTCGGTAGTCACGTAGATAAAAAAAAAATGAAATAAAATTATATATTTATTTTAGCCTATTCTTCCACGTTGGCCAGATGTCTTGGAAGAGGTGGGAGTACCCACACTTTATCCCACCAAACGCGACCTGTCAATTGACCTTGACCGTGGTGGTACCCATTTACTTAGAATTTACGAAACCTGCACCGTTGTTTCAACTTCCATGCCAGTGGATCGAACAACTTCTTGAATGCAAGTCCAGTGTGCTATCCCTCACTGTATGTCAGGTAAGAAGATGGTGTTAATGATATTTGAGAAAGTGTGAAAGAGGTAGATGGAGATGTACGAGAGGTGGTGTGAGTAGGTGAATATAGGTGCTCGTGAACAGCACTTGCCCCTACAGTCTGTTAAGGCTATACGGTGGATCTTTGTCTTTGTTTTTGGAGGCGAATTGAGATGACTGTTGTTGATGAAGTGGTATTGAGGATACAGTCTTGTGGAGGTGACAACGTGTGGAGGCAAGGGAAGCTGGGAGGTCGTGTACGGAGCTAAGGAGGTGGTGCGAGACAGACGTGAGTGGAGGTGGTGAGGGAAAATCTAGGGGAAGGTAAGAGGTGTGAAGAGGTGAGGAGGAGGCAGCGTGCTCACCGAGTGAGAAGCAGTTGGAATTGGGTAGTGAGTTACGCTCCACCTCGCACTCCTCCAGGACCAGCGCTCCCACCGGCTGATACGTACACACACACGAACACACAAACATCCCCCGTATAGCCTGAACAGACTGTTGGGGCAGTGCTGTTAGCGAGCACCTATGAAGGCCAGAAGAGCAAACGAGTGGGTAGGTGGCCAACACCACGCCCAGCCGTCTTTTGTCTCCACAGTGGCGATATTTACTAACTGCACTAGGTACTAATTTGAGGCAGTCGACCTAGGGGAGGCCCAGGACTAGTTAAAATATTCACCGCTGATATTGGTCGTCGGCGGGAATGGAACTCTGGTCGCTGGGTTTGTAGGCCAGCGCGCTAACTGCTACACTACCGTTCCAGTTGAGGTACATAGCAGTGAATGCTGTAATGGTGGTTGTGTATATTGATGGATTGCAGTTGAGGTGGTTGTGGTGGTATGAGATGGGTCACCTCTGTCTCATCGACTCTGAAGTAGAATAGGAAATTCATCACCAACTTGATATTTCGCTCTTTGTATCCTGCAGTTTAACCACAGCGCAAAGCACACACAGAAAACACATAGCACAATACAACATTTATTTACATAGCACCTAAAGGTGATCACAACTCAAGACACTGTACAGAAACATTGGGCAAATTTATTCTGAAGATTAAGGCAGTCAGTCCCAGGCAGAGGGCAAATAAAGAACTTGAACAAGGCATGAATATGGGCAAGGAATCTGTGAGTCATTGTCAGTCTATTCGTCTCTTTAATTGACTGTGGGAATCTATGCGAGTCGAGCAGCAACACAAAATTTGGTCATATTGAACAATTTTCATGAGAATTGCAGTGACAGTTATGTCAGACAATAATCTCGACACACATGGCTACATAATGAACTAAATAATTCTCTCAAATGTGGTTTCCGATTGTACTGAACTGGATTCAGTTGAATTTTGATTTAAAGCTTTCGTGACTGCAGGGATTCATATTCTTGGTTCTTTCGGTAAAGTAACGTAGAAGGGAAAATAAAATAAAATTTTTCTTGCTGTGGTTTTCACACCTGATGATGATTGCTTGTGTTGCAGTCGAAACGTCGTGAGAATTTTATTGTTTTATATTTTTATTATTTAGTTTCCCTTCTACGTGACTTTACCGAAAGAACCAAGAATATGGATTTAGTTTCTGAAGCTCTCAGCAAATGGAGCAAAACGTCGGACATCATGCTGAACAACACGTGGTACAACCCGGCACCACATTGCTCCGGTTTCTTTCTTCCTGGACTTTATTTTCTTTGCTTTTGTAAATTTGGTGGCTCAGGTTACGCTGGCAAATGGAACTCATCCAGGTGTCTTAAGATCTCACCGAGTTAAAAAAAATCTAACCTTAACGTCCGAGAGATGTACAGCCCAACTACAGAAAAACCTACGTAGTAATTAAATTTGTTACATCCACTTGATGTGCCTCCCCTCCCCCAAAAAATCATACTTCCTGGAAACCATAATTTGTATTTTAGAGTTTTGTTTTCCAGTAAACCCCTTCAATTTGCTCAAGGCAACTCAAACAAAACCAAGGTTGAGAAAAACACCGAGGCTGATAAGACCTAGGATCATCATTAGATGAGATCATTACGGATTTCATGAGACCAGAATTTCACATTAAGATATTTATGTCACGGGAATGGGCGCCTTGGCGGCGAGATGTCATCTACCTCGCCTAATATGCAGGAGCTCGTGAGTTCATTCCCAATCCTGACGCCTGTACATGTGAAGTTTGCACGTTCTCTCCCCATGGTGGCATGGATTTTTCTCCGGGTCCTCCGGTTTTTCCCTCTACATTTAGAATCAACGTACGTTTAGTTATACATTTCCACGTGATACTCCACTTCATTGCGCTATCAAGTGTGGCCAGGTTGCTTCTGAAAAATAGCTATACAGCTCAGTGGGCCTTACCTGGTGAAATAAAAATAGTTTAGTTTATAGTGTGTTGCAGTGTGTTGATTAGAACAAGGTTGAAAAGTAAAAAGTTCGATGCAGGGATTTTAAATATTTTCCATGTCGCTGATAGACTTGACAAGTAGCGGCACATTGGTAGCGGCACATTGGTAGCCACAGCAATAGTGAGAGGTACTGTATATACAAAAGCTCTCTTACCCAGCATTTATGGGGAATGGATGGTGCCGATTAATCAAATATGCTGGAATCTGAGCGTTATTATACTTACGTAATACGGGTGTTTTTGGGTTAGATCGCGTAAATGTCGTTAAAGCGGCCACCAATCCGACAAACATGTCATCCGTTACGGGTACAGCACACGGTGTGTTGGAGAGCAAAGCCACAAAACTTACAATCCGAGTACTACGTTTCACCAGTAATTACAACTAGCTTCATCAGGCGACAGACAGATTTGGCTGTATATGTTGCGGCTTTGCTCTACAACACACCGGTGTGCTGTGCTAGTAACAAATTGGCATGTTCTGTTTACGTGACAAACCTTACTCATTGGTTGTGTCGGGTGGTGGCCGGTTAAACGACATATTTACGCGATCGAACCCAAAAAAAATTGTATTATGGATATTGGTCGCGAAAGCCTACATGTTAAACAGTTATACTTACGGTTATCAAACTTTTCCAAATAGGTGAAACATTTCAAGAAAGAAACTCGTCCTACATTTTAAATATGATACGATAAATAATACTATTTTACAGAGGAACTCAACTCGTCAGTTGTAGAGAAATTCTACGTTTATCGAAGAGAAGCAGTTGGGGCCGTTTAGAGTACAGTACACAGTTGTACAGTACTTGTATGTACACTTTCCGTGAGTGTCACCACTCGGCAGCTGCGTCCTGAAGCTTCCGTAAACAACAACAACGGATCTATGAGAAGCCACGGCAAGATGCCGGGTGGCTGCTGGAATGTTGGTGTTGTCGTCTATGACCGATGCTGGTTAATTGAGTAAAGAGTGCCCGGATAACGGGGCGTTTGCCGTGCCAGGGACACACTGGAGCTGAAGAGAAAGCCCTCGGTTCCTGAGACGAACGTTAGCTGGACGACGATTTTATGAGACGAGACAAAGTTTCGCTTAGAACACGATCATTGGTGCCGAATTATATCGAGGAGCTCGTTATCACAAAATAGAATTGTCTCGCGCAAAAAGCTACGATAAGCGTTACATTTTTAACTGCGAAACGAAGGGAGCTGCCACCGTTGGACAATTAAAGGCAGCGCTTCTGGGCTCCAGAGGTCGCCGGCTCAACGCGATCTACCGGCGCGGCAGGCGGAACGATCCAAGTTTACTTAAATGTCGTGGTGGTGGGACGTCTGCTCAGCGTGAGAGTGTAGGCCAAGTCCTGTACCCTCCTCTAGACAGCCCCCTCGTGGCGTGAGCGAGCGTGGCAGCAGCACTACAGAACACCACCATAGAACAACACTACACTACAGAACACCACCATAGAACAACACTACACTACAGAACACCACCATAGAACAACACTGCACTACAGAACACCACCATAGAACAACACTACACTACAGAACACCACCATAGAACAACACTGCACTACAGAACACCACCATAGAACAACACTGCACTACAGAACACCACCATAGAACAACACTACACTACAGAACACCACCATAGAACAACACTACACTACAGAACACCACCATAGAACAACACTACACTACAGAACACCACCATAGAACAACACTACACTACAGAACACCACCATAGAACAACACTACACTACAGAACACCACCATAGAACAACACTACACTACAGAACACCACCATAGAACAACACTACACTACAGAACACCACCATAGAACAACACTACACTACAGAACACCACCATAGAACAACACTACACTACAGAACACCACCATAGAACAACACTACACTACAGAACACCACCATAGAACAACACTACACTACAGAACACCACCATAGAACAACACTACACTACAGAACACCACCATAGAACAACACTACACTACAGAACACCACCATAGAACAACACTACACTACAGAACACCACCATAGAACAACACTACACTACAGAACACCACCATAGAACAACACTACACTACAGAACACCACCATAGAACAACACTACACTACAGAACACCACCATAGAACAACACTACACTACAGAACACCACCATAGAACAACACTACACTACAGAACACCACCATAGAACAACACTACACTACAGAACACCACCATAGAACAACACTACACTACAGAACACCACCATAGAACAACACTACACTACAGAACACCACCATAGAACAACACTACACTACAGAACACCACCATAGAACAACACTGCACTACAGAACACCACCATAGAACAACACTACACTACAGAACACCACCATAGAACAACACTACACTACAGAACACCACCATAGAACAACACTACACTACAGAACACCACCATAGAACAACACTACACTACAGAACACCACCATAGAACAACACTACACTACAGAACACCACCATAGAACAACACTACACTACAGAACACCACAATAGAACACCACTACACTACAGAACACCACCATAGAACAACACTACACTACAGAACACCACCATAGAACAACACTACACTACAGAACACCACCATAGAACAACACTACACTACAGAACACCACCATAGAACAACACTACACTACAGAACACCACCATAGAACAACACTACACTACAGAACACCACCATAGAACAACACTACGCTACAGAACACCACCATAGAACAACACTACAGCTACAGAACACCACCATAGAACAACACTACACTACAGAACACCACCATAGAACAACACTACGCTACAGAACACCACCATAGAACAACACTACGCTACAGAACACCACCATAGAACAACACTACGCTACAGAACACCACCATAGAACAACACTACGCTACAGAACACCACCATAGAACAACACTACGCTACAGAACACCACCATAGAACAACACTACGCTACAGAACACCACCATAGAACAACACTACGCTACAGAACACCACCATAGAACAACACTACACTACAGAACACCACCATAGAACAACACTACGCTACAGAACACCACCATAGAACAACACTACGCTACAGAACACCACCATAGAACAACACTACAGCTACAGAACACCACCATAGAACAACACTACGCTACAGAACACCACCATAGAACAACACTACGCTACAGAACACCACCATAGAACAACACTACGCTACAGAACACCACCATAGAACAACACTACGCTACAGAACACCACCATAGAACAACACTACGCTACAGAACACCACCATAGAACAACACTACACTACAGAACACCACCATAGAACAACACTACACTACAGAACACCACCATAGAACAACACTACAGCTACAGAACACCACCATAGAACAACACTACAGCTACAGAACACCACCATAGAACAACACTACACTACAGAACACCACCATAGAACAACACTACACTACAGAACACCACCATAGAACAACACTACACTACAGAACACCACCATAGAACAACACTACACTACAGAACACCACCATAGAACAACACTACACTACAGAACACCACCATAGAACAACACTACACTACAGAACACCACCATAGAACAACACTACACTACAGAACACCACCATAGAACAACACTACACTACAGAACACCACCATAGAACACCACTACACTACAGAACACCACCATAGAACACCACTACACTACAGAACACCACCATAGAACACCACTACACTACAGAACACCACCATAGAACACCACTACACTACAGAACACCACCATAGAACAACACTACACTACAGAACACCACCATAGAACAACACTACACTACAGAACACCACCATAGAACAACACTACACTACAGAACACCACCATAGAACAACACTACACTACAGAACACCACCATAGAACAACACTACACTACAGAACACCACCATAGAACAACACTACACTACAGAACACCACCATAGAACAACACTACACTACAGAACACCACCATAGAACAACACTACACTACAGAACACCACCATAGAACAACACTACACTACAGAACACCACCATAGAACACCACTACACTACAGAACACCACCATAGAACACCACTACACTACAGAACACCACCATAGAACACCACTACACTACAGAACACCACCATAGAACACCACTACACTACAGAACACCACCATAGAACACCACTACACTACAGAACACCACCATAGAACAACACTACACTACAGAACACCACCATAGAACAACACTACACTACAGAACACCACCATAGAACAACACTACACTACAGAACACCACCATAGAACAACACTACACTACAGAACACCACCATAGAACAACACTACACTACAGAACACCACCATAGAACAACACTACACTACAGAACACCACCATAGAACAACACTACACTACAGAACACCACCATAGAACAACACTACACTACAGAACACCACCATAGAACAACACTACACTACAGAACACCACCATAGAACAACACTACACTACAGAACACCACCATAGAACAACACTACACTACAGAACACCACCATAGAACAACACTACAGAACACCACCATAGAACAACACTACACTACAGAACACCACCATAGAACAACACTACACTACAGAACACCACCATAGAGCAACACTACACTACAGAACACCACCATAGAACAACACTACAGAACACCACCATAGAACACTACAGAACACAACGAGCACTACAGAACACCACTACACAACGAGCACTACAGAACACCACCATAGAACACTACACTACAGAACACCACCATAGAACACCACCATAGAACAACACTACACTACACCACCATAGAACAACACTACACTACAGAACACCACCATTGAACACTACACTTCACTACAGAACACCACCATAGAACAACACTACACTACAGAACACCACACTGCATAACGAACACCACAGAACACTATCGAACAAAACCATTAAAGATCCCCCGTGTAGCCCGATCACACTTTTGGGGCAAGTGCTGTGAGCGAGCACCTATGGGGGGGGGGGGGGGTGGCCAGCACCACGTCCGGCCGCCTTTGTCTCCCGAGTGGCGATGTTCACACAGCGCACCAGGTACTCGTTTGAGGCCGAGTCAGAACACTATACTATAGAACACTAACACAGCAGGACACTTCAGTAATACTATGGGACAACTAGACAGTACATACTCGTACCCCTCGTAGACAATGCGTGTGTTGTGCGTGCACCTCGCCTGGCACAGGCGTCGTGGTAGTAACAACGCCACGGTTGTTATTGTTGTTGAGTGATGGTGGTGGTGGGAGCGGTAGTGTAGCAGCCAGCGTGCCGCGCTACGAACCCGGTTTTCCAAGTTCGATTCCCGCTCACGGTCACCAACACCAGTGACGATCACCTGAACCAGTCCTGGGTCTCCTCAGGAAGACTCGGCCTCAAAAGAGTACATTGGTGCGGCGTTTAAACAGCGCTACTGAGGGAGATAAAGGCGGCCGGACATGGTGCTGGCCACCCCCACCCCCCTTCGTGTGCCGTTCCGGCCTTCATTAGGTGTTACTTGCGAACAGCACTCGCCCCCAACAGTCTGTTAAGGCGACACGGAGGGCTACGTGTCTATAGGGTGGTGGTTGTGTGGCACTCGCCTTCTCTCTTTCCCGCGGCCCATGCGCGCATCTGCACCCGCGCCTGCCTCTGGCAGGGCTGCCCCGCCAGGCTCACCAACTCCCGCTCGTTGTAACGCATCACCCCCCCGGCACCGTCTCCTCCCGGGTCCTATCGGGGTCCTCCCCGGTCTCCCCCCGCCCCCAGCAGGCCCGAGGTCCCTAGGGATCAAAATCGCTGCCCACCGCGTCCCAGGTCCGGCTCCCAACCGCACTGCAAGATGTCTTGATCGTCCGTCTCGCCTTATATAGGGCGCCCTCACCACATGGGACATGACGTCATCACGTAGACCACCTCTGCCTCGCTTGAATGATGTCATCGCGCCAGGTTTTTCCTCCGGGCAACGTCATCAAGTTGGCAACGGCAGCCAAAGCACACTGCGCTGACGTCGAACACGTCCAAATCCGCCTTTGTGTTGACGTCACATCGTCAGGTCAAATCAAAACGTCATCGCGTTAGGTGACCCATGCCATTGCGTCATTACGTCAGACGAGTTCGTTGTGAAGGCCCGCGTCGAATGACGCCTCGGCTTTAATTCGTTTCCGTGACGTCATTATCAAGTGCCGACGTCCTGTTTGGTGCCGTTATCGACGTCACGTCGTTGTGGCGTACGGGGTGCGTCACCTTATTTCATGGTCACTCCGTGAATGTAATTGGCGTTCGCGCTGACGAATTAACGCGCGTGACGTCATCGTCTCAAACCGCATAAAAAGGCGCGAAAGTGTTAAAATTAAATTAACGAATGAAACATTGGGGACTTTCGCGAGAAAACGTCATTATTACCAGCAAAATCTTGACTTAAAGCTTTCGCAACTGCAGGAATTCATATTCTTTGGGTCTTTCGGCAAAGTCACGTAGATAGGTTCAAATTAATAAAATAAAATAAACAAACAACTACGACGTTTCGATCACAACACAAGCGATCGTCATCAGGAGGCAGAGTGTTTTAAAGGTTTAAATGGGTATAGCCCAAGGGTCAACGACGTGGGCAGGGCTAGTGATGTTAATGTGAGAGATTGGCATGTTAATGTGAGAAGTTAGCATGTTAATGTGAGAGATTAACATGTTAATGTGTGAAGTTAGCATGTTAATGTGAGAGATTAACATGTTAATGTGTGAAGTTAGCATGTTAATGTGAGAGATTAACATGTTAATGTGTGAAGTTAGCATGTTAATGTGAGAGATTAACATGTTAATGTGTGAAGTTAGCATGTTAATGTGAGAGATGAACATGTTAATGTGTGAAGTTAGCATGCTAATGTGAGAGATTAACATGTTAATGTGTGAAGTTAGCATGTTAATGTGAGAGATTAACATGTTAATGTGTGAAGTTAGCATGTTAATGTGAGAGATTAACATGTTAATGTGTGAAGTTAGCATGTTAATGTGAGAGATTAACATGTTAATGTGTGAAGTTAGCATGTTAATGTGAGAGATGAACATGTTAATGTGTGAAGTTAGCATGTTAATGTGAGAAGTTACCATGTTAATGTGAGAAGTTAGCATGATGTGAGAAATTACCATGTTAATGTGAGAGATTAGCGTGTTAATGTTAGAGATTAGCATGTTAATGTGAGACGTTAGCATGTTAATGTGAGAAGTTAGCATGTTAATGTGAGAAGTTACCATGCTAATGTGAGAAGTTAGCATGTTAAAAGTTAGCATATTAATGTGAGAAGTTAGCATGTTAATATAAGGCACGGGGAAAATAAAAACTAACATTGGAAGGTGGCAGGATGGGAACATCACAGCCAGTTATGACTTAAACTGGTTGATGACGTCCTTCCAATGATTGCTGAGTTTGCACCAAATCTCTCGGTTGAAATTGTGTGTGTATATATGTGGATGGCTTCATGAACGAATCTTTGTTTATAGCCAGTGGGCTTACAAAGTACCTTCGTCTTAGAGAAATCAATTTCGTGAGCCCACCGCATTAAAACAATGATCATCCACGGCTGAGGTATTGGTGCTACCGTATTTCAAATCTGCCTTAAGCTCACGAACACGGTCCGAGACATGTCGCTTAGTTTCCCCAATGTAACTACTGCCGCAGACACATCTACGTTACTTTACCGAAAGACCCAAAGAACATTACCAGCAAGTTACCTCGGTTATTGAATAGTCTTGACGTACTTACACTGCGGGATGGTATGTCCCCAGTCGTCGTGGGACAACTCAAAACATTCCCTCAAGAACCTTGAAGTGGCTTCAAAAAAGAAAAAAATATGCAATCGGTGACGTTCCACGCAAATGGCCCTTCATAGCTAAAGCACATTGCAGTTTTGCATAATGGGCATTTACCATTACCGTGTTTGCTACACTGACAGACCAGAGACACAGGGACAGACCTGTCTGTCTCTCCTCACAGATGTCCCCCTCGTGTCCCTTGACACGTGAATGTGGAGCCAGGTGGCATGGTGGCGAGATGTTGACTACCTCGCCTGGTATAGAGGGTTCGATCCCGACCCTGACGCCTGCTGGACATTTGGAGTTGCGTGTCTCTGTCACCTTGGTCACGTGGATTTTTATCGTCCACATTTAGAGACATGCTTTTAGAGTATTCAGCTGATATGAATTTCCACATGGGCGAGTCGCTTCTGAAAAAGAGCTATTTAGCTCAGTGGGCCTGATCTGGTAAAATAAAAAATAAAATTAGTTTAATCGGTCACCACTGTGACTGGAATCACCTTCACGAGGCACACGGTCTTAAATAACAAGGTCCATTATAAACCAAACATGATCGACCGCAGATTTTAAATACACTGTATATAACATAATTAGCATGATTGTGGAGAATAAGTAACACAGCAAAGTGTCTCATTCACATCATATCTACATCATACCTGTCATCGCCTTACCAGTGCCCTACCTATTACAGACTAATTCAGACCTTATTGGTGCCCTTATAAATCTCAACGTTCATCATACAGTCTCATTACAAGTGAGAAACACATATAGATTTTTTAAAAACCCAACGTGTTTTTGCCCATAGTGAAACGGCTTTACGCCGTATGGACATGATTTCCCTGTACAATAATACGGTTAAACCGTATAGGTTGACAGGCAAGTCTACATAAACTACATACTGTATAAGTAATTCTTACACAACCCATCGGCCACACGGCCTTCTGGGAGTGCATAATTTCAGCGAAATACAATCAAAACTCTGCACCGGTTTTCACATGCAGTTTCTCATCAGCAGTCAGGCTTACCAGAAACCAATGCTGAACTACAAGAGAAAGGGAGCCTCCCTGTTAGATATGCCACGGATTATACTGGAATCGTCCTTATTGTTGATGTAGCTGCTGTTCTGGGAAATACGCAAGTCGTCACGGTACACTCATGTAATAATATTAATAATAGCAATCTAGACAAAGAATGTATGTACAGTTATCTAGCTTTCCGAAAAGTTGCGATATAGTTCTTCCCATTACATACAGCAGGTGGCAACCCTAATGTCTACGTTCGATTGTACCGTACCAACTGGACACGTAATTCGGTGATACCGCGTTGGCAGTGGTGTACAAGCACAAGAACTCGACACATTAACCAATAACAATGCCTCAAAAGTAAAACGGGGTGACGTTTCGGACAATGGCCCTTCTTCACAGCACATCGAGAGGCCAGAAGTATGCACTGGAATTTATCCGGGAACTCCGGTTTCCTGCCACAGAACAAAACCCGGGTGGAGCTGTCTCGCGGTGGTCAAAGCGATGCGCTGTGACCCGCGGTCACCCAAGTTGGATTCCAGGCCATGGCTCACATCGGTGGCGAGTGGTACAGATGCCTCAACCGATCGTAGGCATCTTCACCGTCAGTGACCAGCGTGGTGAAGTGCGTCTCAAACAGCTGCCGTGACCAACACGGGCACGGGAAGTGGCTACATCCAACAGTGGACTGGCAAAGAGCTGAACATGCGAACGACTCACTCGTCTAACCAATTCGATAAAATATTCCAATGCAGCACACTCCTCAAAACGAGTTTTGAGGCTTGGTGAGACATTCCACGGTAAATGTCGACTCTAAAATCTGAATTTGAGGCCACTCACATTTCTTGCATTTATTGCTGGGGGGGGGTAACATATTCGTTAATAAATAAAAAAAACTTAGTATAAATAAAACAATCGACGAATGAACGAGAAAATACACACTTTCAAGCAATAACATTTAATTTTGGCTATATGTAGTAACATTGCTTTGTACAAGCCCAGTCGCTTGGGTAATAACTCAGAACGCCAAACGTACCACTTAGACACTCACATTACGCAAATACACTTGACAATACTTTTATAAACGCAATTATACAGCAAACAATGACACGTAGTGATAACGCCTGCCGGCCATGGCCCAACGGCCGCAGCACTCGACTCGCAGGGGTGAAGGTTACAACTTCAAATCCACGGTCGGGGTGCGACCCAACTTTCATCCCTCACAGGGTCAACGGAATTAAGAATCCAGTGGCCATGCTACGGATAAACTGAACCCCCCCCCCTCCCCCACCTCGTCATAAGATTAACACGGTTGGCTACATACGGTGCGAAAGAAGTTCAACATTCATACAATTTACACCACTGGCTCAGCACCGCAAAAAACAGCCGACATCAAATTACTGCAATAACCCTGCCCCCGTCTTGAGACGTTGCGATGTTAACGTGAACAGCAGTAATGGCTTACAGCACGCTACACCTCTTGCTTCAAGTGACACCCACAGGTTAGACCAAAGCCCCACTTGCAAGGCCGATGCTGCGTGTATCTTGTCCCACGCAGGGACAGTTGCCGATAGGGGGTGAGGAGGGCGATCTGCCTGGCAGGGCATTTGAACCGTTGAGATGACACGCAATGTAACGTGCGGCTGAGTTTGCCGAGACATCCATCGAATCAAAGCGTCACTGTTTATGCTACGACACGTGTGGTGATGGGCGAAATGGTGGAGGTGTGAGGCAGGGGTGGCATTTCATACAAATTTAATTGCCACTTCCCGATGCCTCTTGATCACCACCATCAACCCTGCCAGAGTCCTCTCTCCACGCAAATCGAGGTGGCTGCAGTGTGTGTGTGTGAGCTAAGCAGAGCAACGGATCCGATGCATTACACCCAAGGGTACACCCGTCGTTTGAGTAACAAGCGATCCCACGACATGTATTTCATGCCAGGGTCCAAGCCCAAAATCACAAACGTGAAATAATGGCTTGAACTACACAATTTCCATTTGCATTCTCTTTTGAATATGCATGTATGTGCAGTCGTGTCCACGGGCTGGCCGAGACAGAGCCACCAAACTGTGCTACACCGGGCCTCACGACAACCACATCCAAGCCTGGCTAGGGGGGCTAATGGCGGCATTCATTGCGTGCATCACCAAAGAATACCCCGCGGGAACACGGCGGCGTCACTGCTACACGTGATTTGACCCATTTCTCGTGCGTGACATCAGCGGCACGGCTTGGCTTCTGCAGTGGAAAAACGACTCGGTGCCTGCTGAGCCGGCACGGCACGGCACTGGCACGGCTCGGTTTGTGCAATTATACTCAATGGCAGGGGCATCCACAAGATATCTATTTTACCCAGCCGGCGCACGATCCCCACCATTTCTCCATCGCTCCACTCCGAGCGCTGTGTGGCCGGTGCCGCATTCACTGTGCCTAACAGGGGGAGCTTCCACCGAGGGGGTCCCCCTGCTGCAGGGCACCCCTGAGACGTACTGCATGGGAGGTGCGGTGTCAATATTAAACGACGGTGATGATGACGACGACGATGACAGTGATACTGAGCCAGACCCCTCACCACACCCCCACCTTGTTCGCACTTTCTCTGGGTCCAACATCAGCAGTCTCTTCCTCCTGGAGCTGAGCGTTTATCGTTCACACAGGCTGCCTCCAACCAACGTAAGCAATGGCACGATGGCCCCAGTGCATAGTCGGTCACCGGGTAGAGCTCTGCAGGCGAACCCCCATCTCCGACGCGGCCGTCGCAGACGAGACTCTTGCGTTACGTCTCCACGTGTTTCCCTACGTTCTTCCGTGTCTTGCCGAGAGTCTCTGTGTGCCGCGCATCTCATGAAGTTCTGTGACCACGGGGCGATGATGTCCCTGAGCGACTGTTTCAAGGTGACCTATAACCTCAGAGGTCGGCTGTGTTTATGTTAGCCACGCAGGCGCGCACGAAGGGCTTAGGCCGAGGTCGTGGGCGCTGTGTCACCGCGTCAGTGTGAGGTATCACTGTGCGCTGTATTGTTACCATGGTGTCGATTTCGCCGTATCAGTATGAGATATCACTGTGTCAATCTCACCATGTCGATGTCACCGCGTCAGTGTCACTGCGTCAGTTTCATTGCGGGATATCACTCTGTCAGTGCGTCGCCGTCAGTGTCACGGTGTCGGTGTCACTGCGTCAGTGTCGCCGTGTCAGTAGGAGGCGTCGTTGTGTCAGTGTTTCGATGTCAATGTGTCACTGTGTCACTCTGTTGTCGGTGTCGCCGTGTCAGTAGGAGGCATCGCTGTGGAAGTGGTGGCTCTGCAGAGCCTTGACGTGGAACTCGTAGATCTTGAGCGCGGGCCCCAGCTTGATGGAGAGGCCCGTGAGGACGTCGCTCCTCTTCATGAGCAGCAGCGACTTCCCATCGATCTCCTACACGGCACGACCACAACGTGAACCCGAGCCACAGCCCTGACTATAACCCTTACCCTGTCTTATTCCTTGGTTCTTTTAAAGTCACGTAGATAGAAAAATTATAAAGTGAATAAAAGTAATAACATTTCGAACCACGACGTTTCGATCACAACACAAGCGGTCGTCATCAGGAAAAAGGGGTTAGCCTCTCAAGGCAAACTGTTTATAAAGGTTTAAAATGGGCGTAGCCCAAGTATCAGCAGCATGGGCGGGGCAGCTAATGTTAATGTAAGTGATGGTCGTATGGGGCAACGATGGCGCTGGTGGTGGGTTTCCACCAATTATGACTATAACCATAACTCTAACCACCAGACACAGCCCTGACACTAACCCTTACCCTGTATTTGGCTGCTATACATTTCCACGTGATAAGCCACTTAATTGGGCTATCATTGGTGGCCAGGTCGCTTCTGAAAAATGTCTAAAAAGCCCAGTGGGCCTTACCTGGTAAAAATAAAAAGTTTCGTTTTACATCAACCCCAGTGATAGGACATGACTTGAACCCTTACCCTGACTCCAACAAAAACATTGACGCTTACCCTACGTTCAACTCAGGTTCTGGTGGTTGCCATGGTTGCACTAGTTGTCATGGTTGCTGTGGCTATGGAGGTTGCTATGGTTGTGGTGATTGCCATGTTTGCGGTGGTTGTAGTGGTTGCCGTGGTTGCATCCCCACCTGCTCCTGGAAGGCGCGCGCCTCCTCGTCAAATCCGGCGGTGCGGAAGTAGCTCACGACGTCGGCGATCGACCAATCAGCTGGCTCCAGCAGCTTCAGCCCCTCGGCGCTGCACGCACGCACAAAGACAAAGATCCCACTCCCCTAGCTTTCACCAGACTGTTGGGGCAAGGGCTGTTAGCGAACACCTATTAAGGCCGGTACGGCCCATGGGAGGAGATGGTGTGGCCAGCACCACACATGGCTGCCTTTGTCTTCCCTAGTGCTAGTATGTACAAAATGCACCAGGCACTGATTTGAGACTGAGTCGACCTTGAGGAGGCCCGGATATTTGTCACCAATGTTAGAACTCGAGTGGCCGGGTTCGTAGTGCGATGCGCTAACCATTGTGCCACCGCTCCCATTTTTTTTGTTCTAGTGAGCGATAAAGACATACGCGCACAAAGTAAAAAATCACCCATATCGCCCATCGTGGTGACATGTGGCATAGTAATGGTGTGGTGTGGGTATATAGTGATGTGATGCGGGTCATGTAGCCTGCATGCCCAGCTACCGCATAACCAAGCAGTGTTTGTATGGCTGGATAGAGGGGGCTAAACGGGCGCAGTACAGGGCTGGAGAAGAGATGAAATTATGTGGTATGAGAGGACATGGAGTTGAGTGGATTTGCTAATGACTTGGTACCAGCAGTGTCAAGATCAGCCTCTGTCGAGTTGGCTCGTGAAGAACTAGGCAGTTGAAGGCAGACAGCAACGATGCTAACAACAACGAGCAGAACGCCGGGGGGCTAAAACACAGCAAGTTGGCACAGTAGGGAGCACAGGTGGTGCATCTGCCAATCATATCAGTCAACCCATGGCACCTGGGCATATCCCGTGACCTGCCAGAAGGGAGCCTTCGATACGTCACGTGGCCTCGGAGTGCACCTGGCCTGGCACAAGCGCCGTGGTGATGTCACCACCACTTGGTGGCGAATGGCGGCTGTTGTTGCTGGTGTGGTATGGTGATGGTGTGGTTTAGTGGTGTGATGTGGTGATAGTGGCGGTGTGTGGGGTACCCGTTGTGGTGTGGCGGACTCCGTTCGGCGTCTCCCTGGCTCGCCGGGGATGGGGATGCGGATGGAGTCGGCAAACACGAAGCCCCGCGCACCTCAGGAACTACACAAAGACAAAGGTCCCCCGTGTAGCTATTGACAGCATGTTGGGGTAAGTGCTGCTAGCGAGCACCCATTGTTGACATGGAGCCACAAGGGGAAGAGGGGGGTGTGTCCAGAAGCCTGGCCTGGCCATCTTCATCTTCTTAGTGCTGTATGATTTACTCTCTGCATCAGGTACTCAGTTCAGGGTGCATTGACCTGGGCGGAGAGGCAAAACCAGTTCAGATATCACTCGCCACTTATGTTAACCATGGCCGTGAGTTGAACTCAGGAAAGTGTATTACCCACCATGCCGCTGCCCCACAGACAAAGAGCCCCTGTATAGCCTTAACAGACTGGTAGGGCAAGTGCAGTTAGCGAGCACCTATGAAGGCTGGCACGGCGCATGAGGGTGGGCTGCGCACGCAGTGGCTGGGCATGTGGGCTACTATGGTTTACGAAACGACAACTGCTTACCCGCCAACCGTTCGCATTATCGATTACCGGTTACAGCCGTCAACTGTGGAATGTGTAGATTGAACGCACAAATCGGCATGCGCGGATGTGCAAAACAACACTGTGTGAGGACTCTGATTGGCCAGTGGCAGTTGTCTTCCAGCCGCTGCGCCTACGGTGGCCCAAGTCCCCGCGTTTTGCGTCCCTTTCTCAATTCAGTTAAAGGGTATAAAGGTAAAGGTGCAATCCTGAAATTGCTTGCTTGCTGGCAGAAGGGCCTCTGCACAGGGGGCACTCTGAAGGGTATCAGTGCTCCTCTTCCACGTTAAACGGATATGTTGGAAGAGGTGCCACGGTGGCAAGATGTTAACAACCTCGCCTGGTATGCAGGAGGTCGTAGGTTAGATTCCGAACCTGACGCTTGCTGTATATTTGCATGTCTCTCTCCCCGTGGTCGTGTGGATTTTTTTTTCGGGTCCTCTGGTTTTTCCCTCCACATTTAGAATGAACATGCATTTAAAGTATATGGCTGCTATACATTTCCACGTCATTAGCCACTTTGATCGGCTTATCATTTGTAGGCAGGTTGCTTCTGAAAACGAGCTACTATATAGCTCAGTGGGCTTTGCCTGGTAAAATAAAAAAGTTTAGTTTAGTTTACCTGCCGCTGCTGAGTGGAAAAGCTCAGGCAGGGGACATTAAAGGAAACTTTGCCTCCGTTAATTAAACCCCCACCGCGGAAGATGGAACCACACTCGCAACCTCTGGGTCGCAAGTCCAGAGCGCTGACCGTTACACCACCCACTGTGGCAGCTGCCTGTGTTTCTCAGTAGAAAAAAAAGGTAAACAGGTTTTACCGCTGTTTTCCATTCGGTTATGCGAAGGAAAAACATTGTAACAGCTACGTGACCCGGCCAACGCATCCTTGCCTGGTTTGTGGTGGATAGTATGGTATGGTGCATTTCTTAGTGTGTGTGGCTTACAGTGTGTGGTGTGGTGTGCACAGTATATGTTGTGATGTGTAAGATATGGTGTGGCATGTAGTGGATGGGGTGATGTGTGGTGGATGGTGTGAAGTGATCGGTGTATTGCGTGGTGTGTGATGTCAGGTATTATTCACGTGTAGCATTGTGTGGAGAGTGTGCGTGGTGTGTGGTATACGGTACTGGGTAGTGTGTACGCGTAGTACTGCGTAGTGTGTTTGGTGTGGCGTGGGCGCAGAGTGGCGTCGCACCTTCCGCTGTGTGCTCGGTATCCTCGCGTGGTGTGGCCGGAGCTGGTGGGGACGGCTTTCCCGACAGCATGCTCTCCTCACACCTCGTGCACACCCACTCGCCTGCAACCAATAAAAAAGTGACAATGTTTTTACACACCGCACCAGGTACTAATTTAAGGCCGAGTGGACCTAGAGGAGGCCCAGGACTGGTTCAGATAATCGCCACTGGTGTTGACCGTGAGCGGGAATCGAACTTCAGTTGTCAGGTTCGTAGCGCCGTGCGCTAGATAACAAATAAACGATCGCTCCCCATACCCTATTAACCCGTAGACACGTTGTGCATTTGACCAATAAACGCACATCTTATGCATTTCATGGCCAACCACACTTCACCGCTGCCCACTGCCTCGCGCTCTCACACGCAAATCCCGCGTGTCCACTCACGTACCGCAGAACTCTCAGCTCCACGCGCAGACATGCACGCACTGTGCTCCACGCGCAGACACGCACGCACTGTGCTCCACGCGCAGACACGCACGCACTGTGCTCCACGGCAGACACGCACGCACTGTGCTCCACGGCAGACACGCACGCACTGTGCTCCACGGCAGACACGCACGCACTGTGCTCCACGTGTTCCCCAAAGACACAGTACCAAGCTGTTGACCAAACAATCTTCATCTGGCCAATCACAGCTTGGCCAAACAACGTGCACTCGGTCAATCCAATCGCGGCATGTCTTTTAAAGACTTGGTTAAACTAACAAACTGTGGCCTCACCAATCGTAGCACATCTTACAATGCATATGGCTAAACAACCTTAAACTGCACCTAACTTTGTTCCATTATTTCTAAAAAATGTCCTTGGTTCGTCTCCCATGTACATCACAATTTGATGCTAAATTGTAATTTTTATAACTTCACTTGCAATTGCATTAGACATCATATATCCTTGTCTGTTTACACATGAGTACAGTAATAATTATCAGACCAATGGGTTCACACTTTACGAAACTCTACTTTGCAGAATCAACTCAGCCAATGAAAGCATGCGTAACTAAACACCGATACAACTGTCATCCACCCATTGACGACACACGAGGCTCACCAAGCCCATCACATACAACACACCTTAATAAACACTCGGCCATGAAAACAAACTCTTCACCTTGGCACAAACAACAGCAACGTTTACCAGGCTAACGGAATCACGGACGCCACCAACGACCGCAGCGTCTGCCTCCTCTCACGTTCTCACCGATCAACGCTGCCACGGCATCACCCCGCGATGATCCCAGTCCGCACCACCACCGCCAATGCTCGACCGCCAGGTAGCCAGCCAGGCCTCCAGTCAATCCAGACAGCCTGTCAGCCAGCCAGTTGGCCCGCCAGCCAAGCCAGGCCACCAGACAGCTAACCAAGCCACCAGTCAGCCTGCCAAGTCAGGCCACCAGTCAGCTAACCAAGCCACCAGTCAGTCTGCCAGTCAGGCCACCAGTCAGTTAACAAAGCCACCAGTCAGCCTGCCAAGTCAGGCCACCAGTCAGCTAGCAAAGCCGCCTGTTAGCCTGCCAGCGAGGCAACCGGTCAGCCTGCCAGCCTGTCAGCCAGGCCACCAGTCAGCCAGCCAAGCTGCCAGTCAGCCAGGCAGCTCAACCGGCCCTTCATTATCACCGGCTTGCTGACCCAAGAGATTTACGTTTTTTTTGTGGTGGGGCGGGTTGTAATGAGATATCAGCAGCAGCAAAACGTTACGTTTTAACAGGAGCGACCGCCCGGCGTTTTAAGCTGTTCCCGTCACGGGGTTGACGATCAAGCGTGCGTGGGGTCCATGGGTCACGGCAGAGGGGGTCAAGCCGGGCTGCAGTCCTCAATGGTGGCAAGCGACAACGATGGAGGGAAGGAGGGAACAGGGAGGAAGCGACGGAGGAGAAAGGCAGCAAAGGAGCGATGGACGAAGGCAAGGGAGCGAGGAAGGGAATGAGGAAGTGTGCAATGGCCTACGGCAGGAGTGGTTGTGTTGAGCGGCTCAGGCACACGCGCACACGCCGACACGCGTATGCATGCATGTGCGCACACACCCACCCACACTAGCACGCTGACACTTGCATAGAGAAATGAGTGATATCCCCTGCTGGGGGTAAGGAAGTGCGACTAATAATCCAATCAACCAATCGTCTGAGAGAAGGGCAAAGCCCCTCCCAGATTCCATCTGACGTGTGAGAGCGTGTAGGCGTGAGTGTATGTGAGGGTGTGATCCTGTGTGTTTGTGTGTGCTAGTGTGAGTGGGGAGCGATAGTGTAGCGGTTAACGCGCTGCGCTACGAACCTGGCGACCCTGGTTCGATTCCTGCTCAAGGCCAACACTGGTGACAATTACCTGAACGGGTCCTGGGCCTCCCCTAGGTCGACAGCCTTAAATGAGTACCTGGTGCGATGTGTAATCATCGCCACCGGGGAGACAAAGGCGGTCGGGCGTGGTGCTGGCCACCCACCCCCTCGTGTACCGTGTCAGCTTTCATAGGTGCTCGCTAACAGCACTTGCCCCTACAGTTTGTGAAGGCTACACGGGGGATCTTTGTCTTGTGTGTGAGACTGCCTTTATATGTAGTGCAATGGTTAGTGTGTTGCGTTACGAACTCGGCAATTCTAATTCGATTCCTGCTCATGGCCAACACCACCAATGACGATTATCTGAACCAGGCTAACCTGTTGACACTGACATCCAACTCCTGAACCGTACCGCTTCTAATCGCAAGAACAGACAATAAACCATACTGTCTCATTCACTATGCTCACCATTTCATTTACTGTAAATTATGCCACACCACTCAATTCGTAACTACACGTTAGGCCACACCACAATATTTGCTACAGAGAATACCACACCACTCAATCAGTCACTAGAGGTCAGCGCAAACACCACTATATTTACTACAGAGAATACCACACCACTCAATCATTCACTATAGGAAAGGCCACATCGCTATCTCATTTACTACAGAGAATACCACACCACTATATTTACTACAGAGAATACCACACCACTCAATTTGTAACTACAGGTCAGGCCACACCACTATCTCATTTACTACAGAGAATACCACACCACTCAATAATTCACTACAGGACCGGCCACACCACCATCTAATTTGATCAATTTCAGACCAAACCACTTAATAGTTGAATCCAGGAAAGGTCAATTTGCATAGGGACAGCAGGAAATACAATTCATTGCCCGGCATCCCATCAGGCGATGCCTAGGGACAGTGGAAAATCATCGACGCACACCATCAAACAATCTCTCCTCCGCAGATGCTAAATGTATTCAACTGCAAACATAAAACATTATCAGCAACAGCTGCTGCACACGCCTTGCTGCTGGTGTTTGTGTAGCGGTCCCACTTCCTTGCCTCCCTGCTTTCACGCATTAAGCAGGGCAACATAATTTTCTGATTAACGTTCCTTGCAGGCCATTGCGAACTGACGATGGTCAAGTGAGTTCTAGCTTCAATGACTCGGCTGTGGAAATTCCACATTCTTATGGGAGGTGGGGTCTTATCCATAGGCCAACCAATGATGACCTTCCTGACAACGTAATTATTTTATCGACCCCAGAAGGAGGATGGGTCAAGTGAACTCCCAACCCAAGATTGAAACTTGCAACCTTTCCATTGCGAGCTGGCCGCTCAACCACCAAAACCAACTGGTCCGAAACACACACTTCTGGCCTCAAATAATCGTCTCGTTTGTATCCAGATGTTCCAAGACAAAATGAATGTCCCACTTACCAATTACAAAACTATCCCGCCGATCCTTGAAGATTAAAATATATATAATTGTATACTATTTTAGCTGCCATCTACAGATGGCACCTGGTCCCGGTTATTTTCAGCATCGTCCTGGGAAAGTCTGCACATCTTCCCAGGGCATTACAAATGCCCATTTTTTTCCCCAGTAGTTGCATTGTAGTAATAATCATAATAACAACACCACCACCACTCAAGACAAAGCATCTGCATGAAACATAATAGACAAGCGGACGAAATCTCCTTCACATGGCCGTCTCTCCATGTAAAAAAATATATATCTCACAACCCAACAGCCGCACGGCCTTCTGGGAGCACATAATTGCAGCAACACTGATTCAATTACAAACAAAACTATGGACCGGTTTCGACATTCAGTGTCTTGTCAGCAAGAGTCGGGGTTGCTTGAATGAATGCCAGTGAACTGCTGATCTTACAGGAAAAGACCCCTCTCAACAACCCTTGTGGTTATTTTGAGTGATGCGTTCACATGAGATATTTTTCTGCCTGTAATGCGTACCTGGCTCGTTGTACCTGAGTGGGTGGCATCCCCATCTCGCAAAGTACGCATAATTTTACAAATCACACCGAACGAGGCAGACGCTACGAATGAGACAGCGTAAAAACAAAATAAAATAATAGTTTTTGAATCAAGCAGCAAACCAGGATTGTGACAATTCATTATTCGGCCCGTGACTTCATTTCACATGGAGCACGACTTCATTACCTACAGCCTATCATGGGGCTGTGATGATGGTTATGGAGCTGTGATGATAGAAGGGGCTGTGATAAAGATTATCATAAAGATTGTGGCAATGGGGGTTGCGATGATGATCATGAAAAGTAGGTGATGATCATGACTACTTGTGATTATTATAATGAAATGACTGTGATGAAATAAACCTTTGCAAAAACCAGGTCCTAACCCAACACCCTCCTCACTGCTCCTCCACCACCACCCACGGACACCACGAGGAGTTTGATGCTGACACTCACCTTGTGTGGTGGCGGTGGTGGCGATGTTGGTGGTGGCAACGACTGTAGCTGTGGTGGCGTTGCTCGTGGTGTGGTTAGCGTGATTGGCGTGGTTGTGGTGACGTCGCGACGCCAAACCCTCGTGACACCGCGGGTGGTAACAGCTGCCGCACGTGCGACAGCACAGCAGTGCATTCTGAGAACAACAAAAAACATGGTCAATCACATTACTGATGTAGCAGATGAGTGCCGGACAATGATGGTGACGATAGAGTTTGTGGGACTGCCCTGCTCGGTCTTTTCACAGGAGGCCCCTCTCGCACCACCAGGTAGCAGCTCCACCATCACACCGTCCAGTCGGCTTAGCCGCGCGCCAGTCATCTCATGTATTTATACATTTTGAATACTCCTCCCAGCTGGGCGATGCCAACTTCAGTGAAGGATAAAAATTTAACACAATTGTTTTTTTTTGTGTCTGTGCATGTGTGCAGTAATTAGTGACTGATCCGATATCATCAACTCACTACACTTGAGAACCTGGTTTGATTACAGGCGACTGTAACCAGAAAACGAACCCAGGATCTCAGTGGTGTCGGCTCAGTATCTCCATCACGGACATTATGAACCCTTTGAGAGACAGGCACCCACGCCTAGGGCTAGAACCCAGCATCTTGGCAGCGTTGACTCACACGTGTCTCCAACACGGCCATTATGAACCCCCTAAGCCATCCGAGAGCCCCTGCTCTATAACTGCTGAACGCGGTTGAAGTAGAAATCTGCGAGAGCATCTTACGCTGTCCTCGGCACAGATGGAACACGAAGTCCGGCGGCGGCCGGGACTCATCCACTCGCTGGGCACTCCACTGCTCTGGCCTGGCATCTCATTGGAGCAGACCAAAGAAGCTGCACAGAGAACACAGTGGAGAGAGTGCGCGGAGTGGGGGGAGCCAAGGGGGGGTGGTGTCCAGATATCACACACCATTACACATTCCCATGTCAGGAACCAGGTCATCCATGGGGCAACTACTGTTGAAGTCCCACAAAGCGATCCACATTTTATAAACTTTGGAGGCACAATGATGATCATGATGATTAAGTAGGTGATGACGATGGAGAGAAGATGATGGTGATTATGATGATGGTGAGGACCAAATCCATCCGTGGACCAAACCCATTTGTCGTGCTGCCATCTCCTGTTGTGGTCCAGCCCTCCCTCACATCAACATGCCTGCAACACCTGGCAAGCACTGATGGTCACCCATTCAAGCACTAATCAGGCTCAAAATCTGCTTAGCTGCCAGGATGGGATGGAATCAGTCGTAGGTGATGATTTGTGATTGGGACTTGAGTTTGATTTCCATCCGCAGCTTATTTCATATATCCACCAAACAGCATTGACCAGCATTGACCAGATTGGTGAAGTATGGTAAAAGAGCCCCCGTGACTTGCACAGCATGGGGAGACCCACACTCCATATACTTGCAGTGTGTTTACAAGATTAACAAATGTATGTTTATTGTTATGCTTGTTTACCCACGAAAGCCTCACTGTATCCCAATACTTTTTTCAGGAGGATCCCGTTTCCGTCCTCACCGTGGCTTCCTGCTGCATCGGGAGGCAGCAGCATGGGCTGCGAGGGCAGCGAAGGGGCAGCGGGCGGCTGGCTCGACGGGCTCCTGCCGCCTACCCCCTCCACGTTGGTGGGGCGGCCCGCCCTGCCCGCCTCCTCCTGCCGCCCTCCATTGACTCCGCCGCCAGCGACTCCACCGCCGTTCTCTCTGCCAGGGCCTCGCGGCGGAGTCCCCGCCGAGTCCGTCGCCGGGCCGTTCGACTCGCAATCCGAGTCCGAGGAGTCGCTGCTGCCACCGTCGCCACCGCCGCCGCCGCCGCCGCCAATTGTGGCCGACGCCGAGGACGCGGAGGAGGAAGGGCGAGCGGTCCTGGCCTCGCAGCCGGACCAGCTCCGTGTACCGGACCCGGGCCGATCCGCTTTGTCGGCTGTGGCGGCAGCAGCGGCATTGGCGTGGGCGGCGGGGGTGTCTGGGGCGGCCGAGTGTGAAGCGCTCGCTGGGTGCGGTGACTCGTTGGCCGGGCGCAGTACCGGGTGCGGTGATCCATTGGCCGGGTGCGGTGCCAGATGCGGTGACTCGTTGGCCGGGTGCGGTGCCAGATGCGGTGACTCGTTGGCCGGATGCGGTGCCAGATGCGGTGACTCGTTGGCCGGGAGCGGTGCCAGATGCGGTGACCCGTTGGCCGGGTGCGGTGCCAGATGCGGTGACCCGTTGGCCGGGTGTGGTGCCGCGTGCCGTGTGGCACGAGTCGTGGGCTCTTGCAGGGCTGGCGCCGGCATCGACGCCGGGGTCGGCGCGGGCACCCTGGCTGACGTCGCTCGCCGCGTCCCACGGACGCTGATCGCCGTCGCGACAGTGGCGGTGGCAGTGGCGGTGGTGGTAGGGTTGTTGTTGTTGCTGCTGATGGTGGTGACGGGGGCCTCACCGTCACGGCGACGCTTGCCCAGCACAGACGGGTCCACGAAGTCGTCGTCCAACATCTACAAAGACAAAGATTCCCTGTGCTGTTAGCGAGCACCTATGAAGGCCGGAACGGTACACGAGGTAGTGGGTGGCCAGCACCACACCTGCCTGCTTTTGCCTCCCAAGTGGTGATGTTTACACACCATATCAAGTACTCATTTCAGGCTGAGTCGGCTTAGGGGAGGCCCACGACTGGTTCAGATAATTATCACCGATGTTGGCCGTGAGCGGGAATTGAAGTCAGGTCGCCGGGTTCGTCGTGCAGCGTGCTAACCGCTACACTACAACAACTACGCACACTGGGATGCTGCCATGGAATGAAGTTTCAAGTTTAATGTGTTGAACAATGTGAGTACTCAAAGAGATCATTATGAGCATAATTGGCAAGAGTGACCTGGGAGTATTAGTCTGTCAATAGAGGTGCCACAGTGGCGAGATGTTAACTACCTCGCCTTCTATACAGGAGGTTGTGGATTCAATCCTGACCCCGACGCCTGTATATTTGGAGTTTGCATGTTCTCCACGTGGTCATGTGGATTTTTCTCCAGGTCCTCCGGTTTTTCTCTCCACATTTAGAATCAACATCACGCATTTAGAGTATTTGTCTGCGATAAATTTCCATGTGTGTGATAAGCCACTTCGTTGAGCTATCATTTGTTATAGAAAGGTCGCTTCTGATAAATAGCGATATAGCTTCGTGGGCCTTACCTGATCAAATTAAAAAAAGTTTAGTCTAGTTTTAGTCTGCCAATAAGGGTAGCAATGACAGGCTCTCTGTGTGTAATCCCAATTGAGTAATTTGCTGTGTAATTTTATAAATGGAAACGTTTAAGAGCACGATGCCGAAAATGAAAGGGGAGGTGGGGGCTCCTCTTTTCTGGAATGACGTCAGCGGATCTTGAACGTCCAATGTAAAGCAAGCAGCCAGCGTGCATTTTACAGTTAATACACCCATGGTATTGTCCAGGGCGGCCTCCCGGGTGATGTAAAACTATAATCTGCGGGCAGTCGGGAAAAGGCAAACACGCATATAATGTAACAATGTGTCTGCAGCAGTAGGAGTAAAGCGGCCACGTGTATTCATCACGTAACAACTTAATGAATTGGCTGCGCAGGTGGTGGGGTGGTGGAGGGTGTACAACACACATTTTTACTCACGTAAAAATGTGTGTTGTTCGCGAAAACCTACACGTGTTATAATTAATAGCGGTGCTATGTATTTTTGACGACATGACCCAGGGGGGCCTAACGAGCGGCTATTGTTGTGATTGTTATGTTAAAATTGGCACATTTTGGTTTTTAGGGTGGCGCAGTTCCCACCAATACCAGGAGGGGGCAGCCACCCTCCACGGTCAAACGCTATTGCACGTTATATAACAAAGAATTCATCGATCAAAATCCATTATTGTCTCTCGCGTTTCATCAAGAGAACAGGATCTGAAACACAGCATTGATGCCGTAATTAATAATTGGGGTTTTTCCCTCTCGTACGTGCAACATGTTGTCGTTTGTTTAATCAAATCAGCCAGGCTAACAATGGCCAAAATACAAAGGTCCTGCCCCCCGTATAGAATTAACGGACTGTTTGGGCCAAGTGGTGTTAGCGAGCACCTATTAAAACCGGCAGGGCACACGAGTGAATGGAGCTGTGGCCAACACCACGCCCGACCGCCTTTGTTTCTCCAGTGCTGATGCTTCTACGCACCACGGCAGGTGCTCATTTATCACGGCAGATTCTACCTAAGGGGAGGGCCAGGACCGGTTCAAGATATTCGTTACCAGTGTTGGTGGCCGTGAGCGGGAATGGAACTCGAGTTGGGCCCGGGATCGTGGCACACTGCACTAACCACTGCGCCACCGCTCCTCGTCCGCTCATCGAAAAAAAAGTGAACGGCCAAAGCACACACACAGGACACAGGCACTCCTAGAAGGAGACAACACAGCAGTACACACGAGACAGCAGCAGTACAGACAGCACACGGTGGAGGCAACGCAGTTTCAAATGAGGCGGAACAAATGCGGATCCCGCATCCCACGGGCTCGCTCTGTTCTGACTGCACGGAGCGGAGCCGTGACCAGAACGTTACGGGAGCGATGACATTGGTTCCCTCCCTGCCCACCCCCTCGTTCCCCCCGGTACTCCCCCCCACAGCCCCGCCCCTCGGTTCCCCCACCGGTTACCCTCGCCCCCCAAACCCCCCCCCCCGCTCGGTCCCCGCGGCCCCCACGTGGGGAACTCTGGAGGCTGAGATCCGATTAGTGACGTCACTGGAGGTGGCGGCTGTGTCCGTTAGTAATGATGATCCCCGATTAGGGCGAGGGCTATTGAGGTGGGGAGGGGGGGGTAGGTGGGGGTATGTGGGTAGTACGTGGGAGTATGCATGTGCATGTGGGGGTGGGTGGGGGGCTGTGTGAGATTGTTATAGCGTGTGTGGGTACGCGAGCGTGTGTGTGTGTGCCATCTGCTAGTCGTCTCAGTCAAACCATGGAAACCTGGGTCTGTCCCGTGACCGCCTGCCAGCAGCGAGCCTTCGACAGTCTCGGAGCGCACCTAGCCTGGCACAAGCGCCGCGTAGTCACGTTACTTAGTGGCGAATGGCGGCTACTGATGAACCTGGAACGTGCCAAAACAAAGCACCCTTCCTGTGTATTTTGTGTCATCAAATACCGCACCCCCTCAATTCCCCAGGAGTGATGGGGCAGTTGTAAAGTGAGTGGAGGAGTTCCCATATCTCGGAAGTTTGCTTATGACTCGTTCCGGTTTGGCCGCAAAGGTTTCACTCCGAGTCAGTCGAGCGGCATTCTCTTTTCATAGGCAGACTATGTGGAAACTGCCTCGCCTTTATACTCCATATGAAGCTCTGGGTCTTCTCGTCCACATTCATGCCCTACATGCTCTACGCTTGTGGAACGTGGGACTCCTTTGACAGAACATCTACACCAGTTTGAAACATTCAGGTTGGCCTGCCTATCCATCCTGGGTTTAACCAAACTGAATTGTGTGAGGGGCTCACATGTCCTTAAGAGATCCGGATACAGTCCCATCGTGAGCTCCTCGCGGCCAACATCAGTGACAAATATCTGAACCGGTCCTACGTCTCCCCCTAGGTTAACTCAACATAAACTGCATTCCAGTGGCACGGTGCGTAATCATCAGCATTGCTGACCACGCACCCCCTCATGCGCCGTGCCGGCCTTCATAGGTGCTCGCTAACAGCACTTCCCCCAACAGTGTGAAGGCTATACGGGGGAGCTCTGTCTTTGTTTGCGTGAGAACGTGCACGTGCGTGCTTGAGAACATTGGCACTGGGGAGACAAAGGCGGTCGAGGGTGGTTGCTGGTCACACCACCCACTCCATGTCCTACTTTTAAACCTACAGTATTATACAATGCTCTATTGGTACTATAATAACCACTGCTGGATTATTTAATCGATATCAGACAGCCTCCCTAGTGATATGGGATTCGCGTTCGCGCATTGTGGGGTGAGGAGAGCGGTGGCGCTGTGGTGAGCATAACTGCGCTACGAATACCGGCGACCTTCATTCGATTCCGGCTCATGGCCAATGTGAACTCTGAACCTAAATGCTGGCCTCCCCTACATTGACTCAGCCTTAAAAGAGTACCTGGTGAAGTGTCTAAAAGTCAGCGCTTTTGGGATACAAATGCGGTCGAGGTTCTAGGTATGCCAATTCCTCGTGCTGCGCCATGATTGCCTTCATAGGTGCTTGCTAACAGCACTTGCACAAAGAGTCTGTGCAGACCACACGGGAGGGTGGGGGTTGTCTGTCCTTGCGTGAGGCCTCGACTAGGTCGACTCAGCTTAAAATGAGTACCTATTGTGGTCGGTAAATATCGCTGCTCGGGATACAAAGGCGGCCAGGCATGGAGCTGGCCAACCCACCCCCTTGTGTGCCGTGCCGGCCTTCATAGGTGCTCGCTATAAGCACTTTACTCAACAGCCTATGAAAGCTACACGGGGATCTTTGTACGCGTGTGCGTTAATGAGTGATCATCAGTGTGCGTGTGAGTGCCTGCGTGTGTGTGTTCATGTGTGAGTGGTGGTGCAGTGGTTATCGCAGAAGTTAGCGCTAGTGCAGTGGTTAGCGGTTGCGAAGTGGTCAGCGCCATGCGCTACGAACCCTGTAAACCCGAGTTCAATTCCCATTCACAGCCACCATCGGCGACGAATACGTGAAACCGGTCCTGCGCCACCCCCACCCCCATGTTGGTGCGATGTGTAAAAACGTTACAACTAGGGATACAAAGTGGGCAGTAGGTTAGGCGTGGTGCAAATCACACCACCATGGATCGTGCGGATTGTGTTGACCTTCATCGTTCGCTCATCACTAGCGGCATTTGCCCAAACAAACTGCGTAAGCTACGCGGGCGATCTTTGTCTGTGTACTTGAGTGTGCGTGTGTGTAAATGTAGGGGAGCAGAAGTGTCCATGTTAGTTCGCTGCGCTACGAACCCAGCTACCCGAGTTTGATTCCCGCTCACGATCATCTGAACAGGTCCTGGGCCTCCCCTCGGTCGACTCAGCCTCAAATGAGCACCTGTGTAAACATCGCCACTAGGGAGACAAAGGCGGTCGGGCCTGGTCATTGGCACCCACAACCCCCGGCGTGTGCCGTGCCGGCCTTCATAGGTGCTCGCTAACAGCACTTGCCTCAACAGTTTGTTAAGGCTATACGGGGGGTATTTGTCTTTGTGTGTACGTGAGTGTGCGAGTGTGTCCGTGAATGTCCTTGTGGATGCTCGTGCGTCGTGGCGTCTGTGCGTGACGGTGCCTTTGTGTGTCCGTGTGTGAGCGCATGCTCGTGTCTGTGTGTGTGTGCGTACACGCGTGCGTGTTTGTGTCGTGTATTTGTGCGTGTTGTACGTGTTCGCACGTTCGCCAATGTGTGTGTGTGTATGTACGTGTCCTACGGGAAGCGGTGGTGCAGCGGTGAGCACACTTTCGCTAATAACCCGGCGACTCGAGTTCAATTCGCTGCTCACGACCAGCAACCGTGGTGGCGAATATCTCAACCGGCCCCGGGCCTCCCCTATGTTGACTCAGCCTTAAATAAGTACCTGGTGCGGTGTGTATACATCGGCACCGGGGAGGCAAAGGCGGCCGGGCGTGGTGTTTTCCAGCCACCCCCCCCCCCCCCCGTGTACCGTGCCGGTCTTCATAGGTGCTCGCTAACAGCACTTGCCCCCAACAGTGTGTTAAACGCTATACGGGGGATCTTTGTCTCTGCGTGTGCGCGCGCGTCTGTGTCCGTGATCTCAATTATCAATGCAAACGCGCGTGCACGTGTGCGGTTCTTTGTGTTCGAGCGCCTGTGGGTTCGTGCGTATGTGTTGCGTGTGTGAACGTGTGTCTGTGTGCGTTTATATGCGTGTGTGCGTGTTTGAGCGTCCGTGTATGTGCGCGCGTGTTGAGCGTGTATGTGCGTGTGTGTGAGCGTGTGAGCATGTGTGTGTGCGTGTGAGCGTGTGTGTGCGTGTGTGTGTGCGTGTGTGTGTGCGTGTGTGTGTGCGTGTGAGCGTGTGCGTGCCTGTGGGAGCGGTAGTGTAGCGGTGAGCGCGCTGCGCTACAAACCCGGCGACCCGACCACCCGGGTTCGATTCCCGCTCACGGCCAACACCAGTGACGATTATCTGAACGGAGGCCTCCCCTAGGCCGACTCAGCCTATAATAAATACCCGGTACGATGTGTAAACATGGCCACTAGGAAGACAAAGGCGGCCGTGCGTGGTGTTTTACAACCACCTTCCTCGTGCGCTGTGCCGACCTTCATAGGTGCTCGCTGACGGCACTTGCCCCAACAGTCAGTTTAAAGCTATATGGGGGATCTTTGTCTTTTTGTGTGTTTGCGTCTGCGCGCAAGGGCGTTTGTGCGTGCAATGCGCGTGTGAGCGCGCGCGTGATCGCCTCTGGTCGCCTGTGTGTCTATGTGTGTGTCTATGTGTGTGCGCGTGTTTGTTCGTGTGCCCTGTGTGTGTATGTGTGTGTGCCCTGTGTGTGTATGTGTGTGTCTATGTGTGTGCGCGTGTTTGTTCGTGTGCCCTGTGTGTGTATGTGTGTGCCCTGTGTGTGTATGTGTGTGTCTATGTGTGTGCGCGTGTTTGTACGTGTGCCCTGTGTGTGTGTGCTCTTTGTGGGGAGCGGTAGTGTAGCGCGGTTAGCGCACTGCGCTAACCGCGCTACACTGCGCTAACCAATTCCCGCTCATCACCACCAGTGACAATTATCTGAACCGGTCCTGGGCTTCCCCTAGGTCGACTCAGCATCAAATGAGTACGTGGTGCGGTGTGTAAACATCGCCACTGGGGAGATAAAGGCGGCCGGGCCTGGTCCTGGGTACCCACACCCCCTGCCGGCCTTCATAGGTGCTCGCTAATAGCACTTGCCTCAATAGTCTGTTAAGTCTGGAAGGAGGACCTTTGTCTTTGTGTTTTTGTATAGACGCGTGTTTGTACGTGTGCCCTGTGTGTGCCCGCCTAGTCTGGATTTGTGCGTGTCCGTATGGCTATTGCGTGTATTTGTTTTGCTGTGTGTGTCTATGTGTGCGAGCCTGTGCCTTTGCCACCAATTATTCCCCGTGTGCCGTGTCGGCCTTCATAGGTGCTGGCTAACACCACTGCCCCACAAGTCTCAGGCTATAGGGGGATCTTTGCCCTGTGTTTGTAACCGTGTGTAACTGTGAATGTGTGCACCCTTCTCAGTGTTGTGGTGTTTTTCCACCACCGAATCGTGTGCCGACCAGAATAGGTGCTCGCGAACAGCACTTGTCCTAACAGTCGGTTAGAGGCTATGTGGGGGATCTTTGTCTTTGCCTTGTTGAAGAGACGCGCCCGTCGGTGCAATGCGCGCTGCCACCGCCGCATCTCAAATCCGCGTGTGTACACGTGTGTATGTACACGTGTGTGTACACGTGTGTGTGTGTACACGCGTGTGTGTGTACACGTGTGTATGTGTACACGTGTGTGTGTGTGTGCACGTGTGTGTACGCGTGTGTATGTGTACACGTGTGCACACACGTGTACACATACACACAAAACAACACATTCGTCAATAACTCTCTGGATGCGTATGTATACGTCCTGTCTTTGGTACACGCGTGTACCCACACCTGCCGGTGTGATTCTACACCCACCTCGCGTGAGTGCGTGGCTGTAACTGTGTGCGTGTGTCTTTGTGGAGCGGTAGTGTCGTGGTTAGCACACTGCGCTACGAACCCGGGTGACCCGAGTTCGATTCCTGCTCACGTGCCAACACCAGTGACGTTATATCTAAACCGGTCGTGGGCCTCCCCTAGGTCGACTCCGCCTGAAATGAGTAGTGTACCTGGTGCGGTGTGTCGTGAACATCGCCACTAGAGAGATAAAGGCGCCCGGGCGTGGGTGCTGAACACCCGTGCCAGCCTTCGTAGGTGCTACTCGCTAACAGCACTTGCCCCAAACGTCAGTTAAGGTTATACGGGGGATCTTTGTCTTTGTGTGTGTGTCTGTGTAACTGTAACCCGACGCCTCCCGCGCATAGCGGACCCCCCCCCCCACACACCCATCAGCCCCCCGCCCCCCCTCTCCCGCGACCCAGAGCCATACACAGGCGTGGACCCAAATACAGACGGCGATAGACACGAGAAGACCACCCCCGCGCGTGAGAGCCATACACAACGAGACCCAAGACCCAAACACAAGACCCAGACACAAGACTCCACTCAGGGCCAGACCCTAGATCCAGACACGAGACCCAGACACGAGACCCAAGACCCAGTCCCGAATCCGTCACGTCCATTCCCGACTTCGCAAAACTCGAATGGTCGGAACCGCGTTAACGTTACCAATAATATCACTATCATCACTATCATAATTACCATAATCAACATCGATAATGTAACATCAATACAGGACCAACAAATCCATCACCACCATCATCGGATGCCACAAAACCTGCACCACCCCATCGACATCACTGCCATCACATAAACCACAACAGTCACACCAGCAGCACAATTTCAACCATCAACACCAATTAGTGCCCATTATCCGCAGCTCTATCACAATCATCCACATCAGAATCGTTATGTATACTGGAGGAATCCGATTAGCTAAAAAGCTCTTTTTTCAGATGTCTGCAACACAACACCACTATGAGGAACATCAGTGTGATCACGAACACCACTGAAGCTCACACCAACACCGCCACCATCAACACAAGACAGACTGTATGAGAAAGTGCTGTTAGCGAGCACCTATGAAGGTCAAGGTACACGGAAGGGTGGGTGGCCAACACCACGCCCGGCCGCCTTTGTCTCCCTAGTAGCGATGTTTAACACATCGCACCGGGTACTCATTTGAGACCGAGTCGACTTATGTTAGCCGTGTGCGGGATTCGAACTACCGCTGCCCACATGAACACAACACCACTTCCATCAAAACAGCATCAGTGCTGTGTCAAATGCCACTCTGGACAACCTCGGAAACGAGATATTCCTTGTCAAAGGGTTTAAATAAATCTATATCAACAACATCACCACCCTCACCTTTTTCTTGAGGCTCCTCCTCGCCGCCGCTCTCCCCAAGCTGATCCCGCCGCTCTCCTCTACGCCACCACCGTACTGAGCCCCGCCGCGGTCCCGTGGAGTGGGGGAGCTCCGCGCTTTAGCCGCGGGGTTGCGGGCAGCGCGGGCCGAAAGGAGTCGAGGCGAGGTTTCGAGTTTCACTTGGGGCGGTGATGTTGTTGACGTTGTTGACGTTGTTGACGACGACGACGACGTTGTCAAAGTTGTTATCGATGATGCGGCAAAATTACGAATGGGCTTCGACCGCCCTCTCCTGCACCCGGCAGCTTCACCACCACCTCCCATAGTGGAACCATCATTACCATCGCCACCGGAACCATCACTATCATCACGATGATCACCATCATCAACATCATCAGATTTAGCTGGAGCAGAATCATCCCCACCAGCCTCAACAGCAGGAGCATCCGCCGGTATCACCTTTTCATCACCTCCACCATCTTCATTATCTCCAGGACCACCTCCACCATCACCTCCTCCACCACCACCACCGTCATTATCACAACCACCGTCATCCTCCTCCTCTTCACCGACACCACCACCACCATCCTCGTCGTCGTTTTCCTTCCCGATGGGTGAGGACGACGGAGGGAGGACCATGCCGTGAGTGCGGCCGCGGCGACACTTGGCTGCGTTCCTGTAGCTGTGGGAGCCCTTGTAGGAGACTTTGACCACCAGGGACGAGGCCACGAGGCGCTCGAGGGCGGCCTGCGTGAGGCACGCCGACACGCCGTGCCTGCGCTCCACCATTCGGCAGATCCGCTCGCGATCCGGTCGCGCCTTGCGGGAGCGCAGCGAGTCGATCGAGTCCAAGATCCACTCCTTGTAGCGAGACTCCGACATGGTGGTGGTGGTGGTGGAAGCGCTGTTAATGTCTGTGGTTGAGGTGGCTGGTTCGGGGTGGTGCCGAATGGAGGCGATGGTGGCGATGATCGAGTGGTGGTTGTTTGAGGAGTCACTACTCCTCAGCTGCCCGTGCACTCCCTCCGTCTGCTCTCCCCCGAGACAATGACGACCGATAGCGCCTCTTACAATACTCTCCCACTTCCCTCCCTAACCGCTCGCACTCTCCCTGGACAATCTCCCTACTCTACAGAGTCTATACACACCACTCTCCCAATCGAGTGCCTACCTCCTCCTCGTGCACTCTCTCCTCTCTCTCCTTACACAACGTCTCTCTCCCTGTGCACTCTCCCTTAGTCTCTCTCCCTCTCTTCACCCCCCGCCGTGCCTCTCTCTCCTGAACGCGCACTCTCCCCTCCCTACTCTCCCTCGGCGCAGGCCTTTACACTCCCTCCGCACACACATCCACCACCCCCTCTCTCTCCTAATACAATCTCTCTCCCTGTGATCTCCCCCCACGCCCCGAGTAGAGCCTCTCCCCCTTCTCCCTCCCCGAGTACTCTCCCCCTCTCCCTCCCCGAGTACTCTCTCTCCCCGAGTACTACCCCCCTCTCCCTCCCCGAGTACTCTCCCCCTCTCTCTCCCCGAGTACTCTCCCCGAGTACTCTCTCCCTCCCCGAGTACTCCCCCCTCCCCTGTAGACGCTCTCTCTCCGTCTCTGTGCGGTACACGCGCACTCAGCCCTACACGCGTGTTAACAGACACACGTGTACACACAAGCACCTGCGTGTGTGTACACGTGTGTCTCGTGCGTACGCACACGTGATTACGTGTACACAGCCTACACGCTAGCCTGCGTGTATTTGATTAGATACGCGTATGTATATGAGTATATGCGTATGTCTATTCGTATGTATATCTATATGAATATTCACATATGTAAATGTGTATTTGTCTGCCGGTGCTGTGTACGTATCAGCGTGTATCCGAGCGTGATACGATAACGTGCGTCTTTGTGTGCGCGTGTCGGTGTATATCTCCGTTGTAAGTATCTACGTGAGTATCTGTGTGTACGTGCGTATCGGAGTCTATCAGTGTGTGTACGCGTGTGTGGGTACGTGTACGCGTGTGTGGGTACGTGTCGCGTGTCTCCAAGCTCTCCCTACGCGCGACGCGCCTCCATCAACCCGCGTCTCTCCCAGCCGCTCACGGCCGCACGCGCGCGCGCGCACGCACGCGCGCCTTTGTCTTTCTCGCTCTCCGTCTCACTGATGTTAAACCGTCTAATAATCCTGCGTTAGCTATTTCTCCGTTTCTGTGTGACTATGTATATCCGTGTGAGTACCCGCGCGAGTGCACTCTGCCCCACACAGTCACCACCCTCCCCCCAGACGCCCCCCGTCTGCTAACACGACGACAGAACCCGTGTATATCCGTGTATGCACACGTTCGTGTTGCTACGTGTATGAACGTCTGTATACACGTGTGTTTACACGACTGTACATGCGTACACGTCCACGTATGTGTACACGTCTCGGTGTCAACTGGTATACGTCTGCGTGTACTAGCCTGTGGTGTACGCGTCTATCTTTGTAGCATAACCTAGTGTACACACGCGTGTGTATACTTGTTAGCGTCTAGTACGTTCTAGACTACCAACTCTATACTCACCGCCTCTACAAACACGCGCACAAGACTCACAACACATGCGCGCTGCCTTGCTGATGATGGTGGTTGTGATGGTGGTCGTGATGGTATAGCTGGTTTCGCCGTAGCTTCTCGAGTCACTTCGCATTTATCCTCCTCCTCCGCAGCAGCAGTTGTAGTTAGTTGGCGGTAGTTAGCGGCGGTAGTTAGCGGTGGCGATAGTTAAGTGGGGTAAAGCGCCTGCGATGCGCGCGTTCCCTTCTTCGACTGCGCCAAACGCGCGCATGCGCAGCGAGCTCCGGGCGGTAACGGAGGAGGTGGTGATGGTGATGATGATGCGGGTGGTGATGTTGATGGTCGGGGGTGTGTGGGGGGAGCTGGTGATGGTGATTAGTGGCGCAGCGGTTAGCGCATTGAGCTACGAATCCAGCGACATAACTTCGATTCCTGCTCACGACCAATAACAGTAGTGGCGAATGTTTGAACCGGTCCTGGGCCTCCCCCCTAGATCGACTCAGACTTAAATGAGTAAAAAAAACATCTGCACTGGGGAGACAAAGGCGGCCGGGCGTGGTTCTGGCCACCTACCACCTTCGTGTGCCGTGCCGGCCTTCATAGGTCCTCGCTAACAATACTTGCCCCAACAGTCTGTTAAGGCTATTGGGGGGTTCTTTGTCTTGTCTTGTAGAAGGACGGTGATGTGGGGTGGTAATAGTGGTAGTGATGGGAAGCGGAATGGTGATGGTGGTGATGGTTGTAGTTGTAAAGGGAAGGGTGGATGTTCTATGTGGAGATGGAGGAGCGGAAGAGAGATGGGGGAGGTTAATAATGTTGAGGATTGAGGTGATGGTGTGGGTGATGGTGTTCTGCGGATAGGAGGGGTAGATGATGATGGTGATGGCCGCGGAAAAGCCTTCACGAAGCGCGTGGTGATGGTTGTGGTGCGGTCAGTGTGTGATTGGGGAGCTTGATAAGTCGATGTTTAGGTTGTTGGGAGTGGTTGTTGTTTCTTGCTACTGTAGTTGTGTTTGGGATGTTGATCATCATCCGCAAACATCGGCAGCAGCAAGAGCAGCGCGCACGGTGTGGACGCGCGCACGTGTATACTGTACACAAAGACTGTACACACGTGTCCACAAAAAGCAAAGATCCCACGTGTAGCCTACACAGACTGTTGGGGCAAGTTCCGTGACCGAACACCGACTATACGGCCGGCACGGCGCATAACGATGGGAAGGGGTGACCAGAACCAGGCCTGGCCGCCTTTGTCTCCCCAGTGCAGTTATCGTACCAGGTACTCATTTTTTAAAGCTTGAGTCGACCTAAGAGAGGCCCAGGACCGGGATCGAGGTATCGCTCGCCACTGATGCTGGCCGTGGTTACGCCGCACGCGGGTTCGTAGCGCAGTGCAGCGCGCTGACCATTGCGCCACAGAAACTGACACAGACTCGGCAGCACGTAACACAAAGACACACACACACGGATGAGTCACAACCACCATCAGCAACTACCACCACCAGTAGCATCAACAACAGCTGTGGACGTAAGTGGTGGTGGTGGCTGTTGTGTTCGCGTGGTGAATGTTGTTGTGGATGTTGTTGTTGTTGCGCTCTCCGCGTTGTTTTGTCGGCGAGGCCCTGGAGGAGCGCGAATAGAGAGAGGTGGTGGGGGGGGGAGCAATGGGAGGGAGAGGGATGATCGTGCCGACGAGGACTGAGGGGAGGAGGTAATGGTGGAAGATGGGGGAAGGAGCGACGACCGGAGAGAGAGAGGGCGAAGAATCGAGGAGCGAGAGGGGGAGAGCGAAGGGAGAGCGTGGGAGAGAGAGGGGGGGAGAGCGGAGCGCGTTTCCGCAGCCCGAGACGCGTTTCCCTCCCCACGCAGCCCGACGTGCGCCCCCCTCCCTCCCTCCCTCCAGTCTCCCTCTCCCCACGTCTCCACCTCCCTCCCCACAGTCTCCCTCACAGTCTCCCCCCACCCACCCCGTCTACCTCTCCTCTCGTCTCCACCTCCGTCCCCCTCTTCCCCCACCATCTCCCTGCCCCGTCTCCCCGTCGTGCTGTCGAACGCGACTCCCATATAACCCACTTCACGTTTCCCGTCTCCCCAAGGCTCCCATCAGCATTACCCCTCTCTCTCACACAGTCTCTTGCACTCTCCATCATCTACCCTCGTCTCCCACCCTCCTCATCTCCCATCCAATGTACCCTAACCAAAGATCCCCCGTTTAGCCTTTATAACAGATTGTTGGGGCAAGTGCTGTTAGCGAGCACCTTTGAAGGCCGAAACGTTACACGATGGGGTGGGTGGCCAGCACCAAGCCTGACCGCCTTTGTCTCCTTGTGGCGATGTTTTATACAACGCACCAGGTACTCATTTGAGCTGAGTCGACGTAGGGGAGGCTCAGGACGGGCTCAGATAATCGTCACTGGTGTTAGCCCTGAGCGTGAATCGAACCCGGGTTACCGGGTTCAATTCCCGCTCCTCTAACCACCCCAGCACCCCCTTCTCTCCCACCCACGTCTCTCTTCCCACCATCGCTACCACCCACTCCAAGTCTCCCCGTGTCTCTCCCACTCTCTTGTCCTCTGTCTATATCTGCGTGTGTCTCTCTCTCCCCGTGTCTCTATATGTGTGCATCTCTCCATGTCTCTGTTTTCCCGTGTGTCTCTCTATATCTGCGTGCGTCTCTCGTACGAGTTTGCGGTGTCTGGTGCCATGAAAATAATAAACACGTGGAGCAGAACAACATCCCCACAACAACGCATCGCTTGTGTAAACACCTCACAGTACACACACAGTGCACACACATCATGCACACTAAACAAAATACAAACATCCCCCATATAGCCTTAACCGATTTGGGGGAAAATGACATTAGCAAGCATCTATTAAGGCCGGCACGCCACACGAGGGGGTGAGTGGCCTTGGTTTCCCCAGTGCTGATGTTCACATACCACACCACGTACTCATTTGAGGCTAAGTTGACCTAAGGGAGGCCCTGGAGTGGCTCAATATATTCACCGTTATTGTTCGTGAGCGGGAATCAAACTCGGGTCGCCGGGTTCGTAAAGCGGTGCGACAACCACTGCGCCACCATTTCGGCAGGCACACGCAGTGTGAACACAGTGATACAAATAGTTACACGACAGTGATAGTACACACTCAGTACCCACACAGAACACAGTGCACACACACGCTGTGACCACAGACCGTACGCACATAGTACACAAGGGACACAGTACACACGCACAGTACCCACATACAGTACACACGCTCTGAACACAGCACACACGCAGAATACACTCGTACCTTTAGACAATACACACAGTATTCACACAGTGCATACATTATACACACATCACACAGTACACGCAGTACACTCACACAGCACATACAATACACTCACACAGTACACTAACAGTACACCCACACAGTAAACTCACAGCACATATAATACATTCACACAGTACACTCATTACACACAATACACTCACAGAACACTCACAGGACATGCAATACACTCGCATTACACACAATACACTCACAGTACACTCACACAGCATATACAATACACTCACATTACACACAGTACACTCACACAGCACATACAATACACTCACATTACACACAATACACTCACAGTACACCCACAAAGTACACTCACACAGCACATACAATACACTCACATTACACACAGTACACCCACATAGTACACTCACACAGCACATACAATACACTCACATTACACACAATACACTCACAGTACACCCACACAGTACACTCACACAGCACATACAATACACTCCTATTACACACAGTACACTCACACAGTACACCCAGATAGTACACTCACACAGCAC